TTGAGCCTGACTCACTGACAACAAGGTCATTACAACTCCTCTTAACACAAATGCTAAATTTGATGCCAGAGATAAGGCTTCTCTTTCGAATCCTACACTCTATTAATAGCTAGTCGATAGTCTTTTATATCTCAATATTACTCGACCTGACATTGCCTATGTTGTTCATATTGTTCATGTTGTTAGTCACTACATGACTGCATTCTTTACGACTTATTTTGCTGCGGTCCTTCGAATTCTTCGCAACATCAAGGTTACATTATTTCATGGTCTTCACTTTTCTACTAAGTCTACCTTGGATTTGACAGCTTATACTGATGCTGACTGGGATGGTGACCTTCAAAATCGTCGCTCCACTACAGGATACTATTTCCTTTTAGGCACCTCACTTATCTCATGGCGCAGCAAGAAACGGACCACTGTAGCTAGCTCTAATACAGAAACAAAATATTGAGCTCTTGCTGATACGACATCAGAGTTACTATGGTTACGTTGGCTATTAGAAGACATGGGAGTGTGTCAACATAGTGGGACAATCATGCATTATGACAACCGAAGTGCTATTCAAATAACACATAAGGATGGTCTCCACGAACGGACCAAACACATTGAAATAGATTGTCATTTCATTCGATATCGTGTTCTTCGCGGCGTTGTTCAACTTGTTTCTACTTCATTCGCTGAACAAACTGCTGATATCTTCACCAAAAAACATCTACTTGGGTGTTTTCAAAATCTTTTCTCCCAACTCAAGTTGACCTCTTTCAAATCATCTTGAGATTGAGGGGGATGTTAGAGATATGGATATATTTAGGAGATTTTGTATATTTCTCTTAATTGATTCTAATTTATTACGATTGATATTTTGTTATGTTAAATAGTCATCCTGTAAAGCCTATAAATAACCTCATGTACTCTTCATTTGTGAATGTACAGAATATTATATTTTTCTATCCCTACAATTCTCAACTTAGTCCATTACGTTACCATCTAGACAATACCCCCTAGATAAGTAATTGTTCGAATAGAAAGCCGGGGATATAATGCAAGGATGCGTGGCCATTTTCGTTGGAGTTTTACAAGGAAAGGCACGAAATCCATTTGCGCATTTCTACACTTACGATTGGTTAGATCGATATACGACCTTAATTTCAGATATCTTCCAATGAATTAAAGGTGGGTATAAAGCTGCCAATTGAACTTCAAGCAAAGAGTTGTCCACCAAAGATATAAAATAAAGACAAAAAAATAAATTCCGCCAAAATAAAATGAAATTAGCGTACGCAAGCAAAGAAATGGTTGCGAGAGTGCTGATTATTCACATTGGAATCGCCAATAGAAATTAAGGGATTGAGTGGACTTTTCTGTTTTTGGGTGGGGGTGTAAGATCCGATGAAGATGGCTTGAACCCAGCAAGAACCAGTTGACTTTACGGAATAATTAAGATAATCATATGCATTCAGTGCAGAGTCCGATGTCCAAATTCTGTTTCTGAGGTGGGTATGTGTCTGCATAATCACAGCTGTTGTTGTTGCTCGTCGGTCGGGGTTCTGGGGTGCAGAACCTCTTTCTTTAAAAGGAAACAAATGGACAAATTTTCTAGGGTTTTCGTTAGTGCTTGCGTTATGCGCATTCTTTCTTTCTCCTGAAGAGCTTGTGCATCAATGCACGGGCATGTGACTCTCTCTCTCTCTCTCTCTCTGTCTCTCTCTCTCTCTTCGGGAGGTCAACTGTAGTTCCAGCAGGAAATATATGGAAAGAGGAGGAAAAGATACTTCGTGTACAGCGGTCACACTATGTGAAGAAGCCGACTGATACGACTTTAGACTTTCGAAGCTTAAACACAAAAGCTTGAGCTGCATCTCATGCAAGCAAACTGATTGGTCGGTCATATCAACGTCAGCCCCGCGCCCGATGCGAGTTTTTCTTCCTTTTTCTTTTGGTTATATGATTTTATACAATTCGACATTGTTACAAGTAGTTCAGTTATATTTTAAAAAAAAAAACCCACAAAGGATATTGGTAGAAAGTGCGAGATATATAACATATTTCACTTTAATTTACCCAACCCAAAAGAGCATTTTTCTTCTTTTTTTTTATATGCCATTATCAACTAGCTGTTTCATTTCATCCCAACCTTTAATGCGACAAATTCTCGCAAGCTAGTTGGATAGACCCCATGATTTATGGCTTTGATTCAGTCATCAAGCAATAATTAACTATATATATATATATACTTCGTTTTTTTGTTTATAATGGCCACTTCTTATTTAAGTATTATCTATATATAGCATGGAGAGAGGGAAATATTTCTCTAAAATTTCGGCTCGTGCTACTTCTCCAATGGCAACGTCATTTTTGTTCGTCTCCAAATTATTAGCCTAAGCAGACGAAATTTCAATGGGGGCCGACGGCAGACCAAAAAGAAATTTCTAATCATAATTTTTCGGTTGTCAGAAAGATGAATTAAATTTGTTAATTTCTGTAGCAATGATTTGCCCTGTCTAACAATAACATTGGGAGTCGATGCTTAGCATTTCTTAATACGATTCGACACACCGTATATGACAATGTTGGAGCCTGTCGCATCAAGGTCAAGCAAAGCGAAGAACACGGAATCGGTGATTTCCTAATATAAAATAATTGTGTATAAATATATTCATGTATCACATACATATAAGTCCTATTTCGTTCCTTTTATTTTTCTTTCTTGTTGGTGGAACTTTTTGGTTCTATTCGTCTGTTTTCCTTTAAGATAGCTGATCGAGATTCTCTTGTGTTAACATTAAAAATTGACTAGACTGTCGACGACGCGGGCAAGCACGTGATCAATACGCGAACATAAATAATCACGTGGCTGATGTATGAGGATTTACCATGCACGCGCCATCTTGCCATTGGCCAAAAGGCTAATTTTAACATCAGTTATCGATATACAAAGACGAATGGCTATCGATATGGGTATCGATGAGTTAAAAGGCAGCAAAACATCAATGATCCCTCTACTTTTGATTTCTGGGACAATTTTTGCGCTTTCCAGAAAGTGCCCCTGTCGATCCTCGCGCAATTCTGACGACAAATTTTGGTAATATGAAATTTAAGTTGACGCCATATAATATTGTCGATGTAAATTTATTTTTTTGCAAATCCTCTCTCTTTCTCTCTCCTTCAAACTTTGCTTGCAAAAAAAAAAATATATTCAGACTTGCAGCTACATGCGTGCCCTAGACGACACTAATATAGTAGTGCCGTTGTTTGGCATCGTTGACCACCGCATGGTGGTTGCACGCCGCTCTCTCTCTCTTTCAACACCGCCATCACGGCGGCGGTACGGAATTTGAGATCACTACTATTGTGATAGTCGCCTTGTAGGCGAGTATCTGGATCTCGATATGCTCCGTCTCAGCTACAGCGGTCTCAACCGCCGCAACAGACGCGACGGTGGCCGTCGCCTCGCAATGTTGATGGTCACCGGCTAGCGGGCAGGACCTCCGCCGGCAGCAACAGCTAGCCCTACATCCACCGGCAGCCTTGCACCTCTCGACCTTCTTTTTTTATTTGACTTTTCAGTTGAGTTTGTTGTTTTTATTTATATCTATATGTAACGTATAAACTTTTTTAATTATTTTATTTTCGTGACCACCTCGGCAACTATGCACGCCAATAAGAACACAAGATGTGCCAAATTTTGACTTGTAAACTCCAATAAGCACAAAATAAAAATGCAAGATGTCATCTCGGACTGCCCACCTTAGCTGTCTTCAACCCATCGTCATCTACCTTCTTCAACCCATCGACGGCGGTCACCGAGGTCGCGTGACCTCGGCTTTGCCTCGCCTGGCGTCACGCATCCTCGGCAGCCCTTGCCTGGGTCATACCAATCATCGAAGGGCCAGATCTAGATAGCCCCGAGGTCGCGATCTCTGTAGCCCATTGTCTGTCGTCGTGCAATCAATCTCAGGTACCGCACATTTGCCAACACGAGAAAGTTAAGATTTAGACAGTGTAGAAGCGAAGGAGCTGATCAACTTTTACTATGAGAGTTAAGGTAAGATTTGATGCGATTAAAACTTTGATATCGAGATTTTAGTTTTTTCTTCACTAATTCTGCAAATAGATATGTGGGGTTTTAGCGAGTAACGATCTTGTTGACTATTTTTGTTTGGGATAATAACACTAATATTTTTAAACTTTGGTCTAACGTACAATGTGGTCCGAACTTTAAATTTGTACACTATGGTCCTTAAACTTGAGCCTAATATATCATGTCGTCCTTGAACTTTTAATTTGTTCAATATGGTCTATGTACTTTTCATATATGTTCAATTTCAAGAACTAAATTGAACGTTTATTAAAAGTCCCATGAACCACATTAAACAAATTAAAAGTTCAGAAATGACATGACACGACACATTGTGCTAAAGTTCAGGACCGCATTGAACAAATTTAAAGTACAATGATCACATTGCATATTGAGCTAAAGTTCATAGACTATTTGTATTGTATACCCTTTCTGTTTTGGTTCGTGGTACGAGAGTGAAAGAAGAAGCGCATGAGGAGATACTGTGCAAGTCCTAAGATCGGAGAGCACAGCTCGGTCTGTGCTTCCACTTTCATTCTTCTGTTTTTCTTCACAGAAGTCCTTCACAAGTTTGTGGCAAATTGTACTATTTGCATTCTGTGAAACTCCTTTAACCTAAATGCCGTCGCATAAATGCAAAGGCATTTTGCAAAAGTTGAACCAAACGCAAAAACCACGCTAACTCTCAATCCTATCCCAAACTATTCCATGTAATGCTGCCGAGCCACAATCGGTGGAGTACTAGCTCCGTCTAAGTGGTCCAAAATCCAACCTCAACTCAGCATCTCGAGCTTGACGCTCCGAAATGCGACTCCAAGAAATCCAAGCGCTAATTTGAGAACGGATAACAAAAGCGTGAGCAAACACCCTAACCCAGTAAGTAAATTCTCAAGGTTTAGATTAAAAGATCCAAGTACAGTCTCCTTAATCCAAACCTTGGACTTCACATGATCAACCTCAAGGAACAGGTTCATACATAAAACATGAACATTGTATCTCGTCACAATTTTAGCTCTACTCGGCATTCCGAAGATAGGGCCTCCTAGACATGTTCGTGTTGATGGACACGAGGGATGGGGATTGAATTTTATTTCTGTAAAAGAGGTTTCGGCGCACCTGCTCCGGTTATCTCGCCGATCGGTGCTTCGGCAAAGAATCGCGATTCCTTTATGGCTCGAACGGACCGGGCCAGGCGCTCGGATTAGGAGCGGCGTATCGCAACAGATCCTGATCCTTCTCAAACACCGCCATCTCGGCCTCGCCCAGCGTGACCCACGCCTCTGCTCCTAGGCCGTCCCTTGCGTCCATCAACACCACCACGTTCTTGTACTCCGAGCTGCATATGCTCGTCCAATCCGGCCTTCCCCACCCGAAATCGACTTCATAAAATCCGAACCGGCACCAGCTCGTGACCGAGTAGAAGCTCGGCCTGTGCGTCGTCACCAACTCTCCCGCTCTCTTATTCAATTCGCACATCGTTGAAAAGCTCTCCAACCCACCGAGTTTTTTCGCGTAATTTTCGAGGAAATCCTCCATTCCCTCCCTCATTTTAACCACTAGCATTGGAAGGAGATCTTTCTCTTGTTGCTCGTCCTTTTCATGTACCTTTGCTGTGAAGTAGCTGATCAAGCATCCGACGGAGCTCGGAGCGAGCGACGGCTCCGTTCTCTTTCGGATGTTCACAGTTTGCGCGAGAAGAGAGCGTCCGGAGGACGCAGCAGCTTCCATCGCGCATTTCCATATGAAAGCCGACATGGCTTCCACTCGAGTGGGCTGAGCGGCGATGGCGCTCGCCGCTCTAGCTTGGAGAGCCGCAATCTCTGCCGGCCCAAAGCAGTACCTCCTCGACTGGCACTTCTGCTTCAGCATCTTTGCTGGGCGGAGGCTTCTCAGAGCCTCAGAAGGAGGGAAGAGAGTCGAGGCGGTACTTAAATCTGGACCTGGCAGCTCGGCCACCACTGAGTCTCCACCACGAGCCACAGCCGCCCAACTGTGGAGGAACGAGCTCAGAGTCGACGTGTCCGCAATCTTGTGCGACACGCAAATCCCAACTGCGACTCCTCCGCTGTTGAAGAAGCTCAACTGGACAGACATCAAACGACCGTGGAACGATTCCGGCAAGTCGATGTCCACGGGAAGGAACAGCTTCAGCACGTCCGGGTCTGGTGACTGCAGGATCTCTCGAATGCCGATCCCTGTCACTTGAGCCTCGAAATAGTCTGCACCATCGTCCGTGCAGTCGACGCACAGGTTGTCCACGATCCTACCTGCAAACGGGTAGAAACGAGCTAGGGTTTCCGACAACGACGACTTCATCCTCCCCGGTATTTCGTGGATCTCAGGTCCATCACCAGGAGTGTCGGCGTAGAAGAGGACCAGCGGGATGTAAACAGATGGAGCGAACTGGTCAAAGAAGGAGAAAGCGAAGCGCCGGAGATGGGCAGGGGTCGGAGAGGACGGTTTGATAGTCTCTTTAGAGATGATCTCCACCTTCATATCCATTAATGCCTGGTTCGGTTTGTTTGTTTTGGAACAGTTGCTAGATTTTTTAGCAAGACGTAGGATATGGGAGAGGAGAGGAATTCATTGCATTGGAGTGAGCTTTATGAAAGTATAGCTCCAATTGCAAGCAATAATTAAGTGAGTGCTGACTATGAAATTTCTGGGCACTGATGTAAAGTAATGTCTCTTGTTTCTTGAGCTAGTCTTCGGTTCATGTCAACGATCAGATCAAAATAGGGCGATGTGCCCATAAATAAAACTAGGGGCGTTTCCATTGAGGGTCCTAGGAAAGTGAAGGATTTGGCTTTAAACTGGTTTTAAGTATCTTGCTCAAATCTTTTGCACGTCAGATGATCACAATAAATAAGTGCGGATCCAAGATTCCATGCTCAACTTCCTCGCATATGCTTCCTAGGTGACGACAGCAGCAACGACGAGGAGGGTTTGTTGCATTAGTTATATCTGGATGGAGCTAGAAAACCTTCTCCGAACCTAGATCCGTGCATTGGGAGCAATCTCAACCGTTGATCATGGGTTCCCCAGACAAGCCTACCCCTTGACCGAGATTCCTAGCTAGCATCCTCGTGAAAGAACCGGGAGTTGGAAAAAGATTAGGAGCGTGTGAACGTGATCTCGAAAAGTCAATGACTTGGTAAGTATGGTTGTGTTGTACGTGAGATCATACAATGAGCCAAAAATGGAGCAAAAACTGAAGATGAAGGCATCATTATGATCAACTACAAGCCGAACTGAACTCGAAAAGTTTGACATCAACTTCACTTCTCTTTTGGGTAAAGTCGATTCTGTGTATAGCACTAAACTAATAAATTTTCTTTTTGTAAGTGAGTTGATACAATGAGACATGGACATCGTTTTGACTCAAAATCATATGGTAGAAGTCATTTGATCAAAAGAAACACAGAGAGAGAGAGACAGAGAGAGAGAGATGTTCTCGCGCCTTCAAAGTACGAAAATTGATCAAAGAACAATCTGAAACCATAAGCACGCTCTTGGGCATATCCACTTAAGCGAACAGTCCAAAGTTCTCAATAGCACTTACGACTCAAGGACAGCGATATAGAGTATTGAACTGAATGAATGGCACATAAATTTAGGAAAATAAAAAACAGGGTGGATCGATTATGGTAAATGTTTGTGGCCTTCGACCAATGTCAAGTCATCATCCTTCGCTACATTACAGAATACTCCCTCCAATGAAGATAGTATACAGTGGCATTCCATGAAGATTAGCCGTCCCCGACTCCTACCGTGAACCCCACTAGACAAAATAAACGAAGCCACTAGAACCAACAGCAGAGAGATAAGTGTTGTTCTTGCTAACCTGAAGTCATCCGAGAAAATGTTTTGGCGAGAACAAGCACCGCCTCATTGCTCGCAGCTTTCTTCGCGGCAAGTTCTTCCAAGCGTTTCCATGTGGTCTCGCGTCTCGCTTTGACATCATCGTCCTTTGCCTCGTCCTCCTGGAACTTGGTCAGGCATTCTTTGAACAGTTCGGGGTCAAGATCGTAAAACAATTTACGGACATTCAGGGTCAAGCTGTGAACAGCCTGGTTCCAGTGGTTCCTGGCATTTTTCTCGAGGGCAGGGAAGATGATCGGCAATATCACACTGCGATTTTGCTTGATTAAATTCTCAATGTGATCATTGTTCCAGAAAAACAGTGCTCGTTCAGCCACCTACGATTGAAAAACAGGCATGCAAAATGAGAATAACCGTTGTGAAGCCAGATCAGGCCCGAGATATGATGTAGATATAAAATAGCCAGTCGTACTACTGCAGAAGCGCACAGCAGCTCCGGCACATTATCAGCATTAAGCATTATCCAACGCTTAAAAAAAGTAAAAGAACAAAGAAAAAAGCAATAACAAATTGAGTTCGAGCAATTTCAGCTTCGGCCAAAAATTGATTTACAAGTACAGGTCCAAAATAAAGCCTCTCTATTAGTAGAAACATGTCAAAGAATGACTAAGTTTCATGTTCTGGAACAACTGAATGACGATTTCTTTCAATTGAAGCCCAAAGGGCTACACATGGAAGACAGCATTAAGTATGTATGTATGTGCATACTAACAACTTAGAATTTAATCATATATAATAGTTACACCACTCAGAGATAAGAGGCATATATAGATCACAATTAAATAGGTATTACCAACGAAAAGAGAGGAGGGAATACAAAATTTCTACTAAGCACCAAAGGCCAATTTTCATCAAACAGCACTTTTCTTTCTAGCGATCAAAGACTAGAAATAGTATATTCAAAGTCAATCTAAGGGTCTGTTTGTTTGAGTGAAAGAATTTTCCGCAAACTAGTTTTCTGGACTTTCACGCGTTTGGTTTGCTGAAAATGATCGGTCAACGGAAAACCATTTACAGTCAAAGAAAATGTGCATGTTTAAAATTAGGACAATAAATTCCTAACCTGAAAAGGGGACACCATTTTCCTGGAATACGATTTCCCGAAAAGCATTTCCCTTTATCATTAAGTTTTCCCCAAAACAAACACACCCTAAAACAATCTCTCCACTAACGATAAAGTAAAGAAAACTTCAATGTTGATGCAAGGGGAGAAAGAAAGAATCGGGGAAATGGACAAAGTATATCCACAACACTCTTTTAAGTAAAGGAAAATAAAAAAGAAATCAACAGATCAAAAAAATGACCCTACATCTATGAGAATTGCCACAAGGAGGAATTTGTCAGTCAAACAGATTCATGCTCAGTGACCTTGTGAGATAATGAGTTCCACAACTATAGTTTTAAATTATCGGAGAACATGACCCGAAGATAAACAAAGTTGTCTTTGGCAGAAAACAGACCATGGTAAAACAATTCACTACCCCTTTGCCATGAGAATTAAATTTAGAGGCCCCATGAAGTTTAATCATATATTTGTAAAAAAAAAAAAAAATACATAGCAAATACAGTGAATTGCCGGACCAGCATCTTGTGGAGATATTTCAAAATGAAACCCCTATATAGCTAGCGCCTAGAGGTAATACTTCTCAGTCATATACCATTAAAACGCTAGCAATGTAATCAAAAAGGTTTCCAGCTAGAACAAATAACACAGAACAGATACGAATATACCCCTATAGTAACTAAACAGCTATACAATGAGAAGGGCGTGAGTATCATCACTCAAATATTATTGGTTAGATCATCAACAACCATCGAATCGAACTTAAAATTATTGACTGTTTCTTCTAGCAAGCATGAGGGAAACTATACTAAAAGCATACTGAAATCATTTTTTAATCACTATGAAATAGGGTTGAAGTTGGATTCTCTTTGAAGAATCAAAGAGCGAAAAAGCAAGCCCCAGCACTGGCCAAATGTTGAAGCATTTAAGCCATAAAACTCAATTCACATACTTTTTACTTGTGCTTTCTGATTTGCAGACAATACTCAACAAATTCTTGTCTTTATTTTCCTAAAGCTTAAAAATCAAAAGACGTAATCTCAGCATATCAGTAAGCCTCGAGTATGAAAGTGTATCTATGAAAAAGAAGCCAGGCTTCTGGAATGAAGAGATCTGCTTTAGCCATGCAAAAGTGGGAGGCTAGAAACGAGAGAGAGAGAGAGAGAGAGAGAGTTTTGAGGATGAGATGAAGAGTTATGACCTTGCAAACTTGAAAGTACAGATGACAGGTTGCTTAAGAGAACAACATAACGCCATACACTATAGACTTCTATCCCTTCACTTTTCTATCCAGGATCAGCTTCTCATTGGCAATACCTCCTAGAACCACTGCGTATGTACCAAAAACTGACCCCAACAAATATAGAATTCTCTGGTTAGCCTGTGCGCTTCAGTTTTTCTGGTGGTTTGATTCTTTAAAAAAAAAAATACCACCGAAATACACGACTCAAACATAACAAAAACTCTGGCGACTATGTACCTGACATAGATCTTTGAGTGAAACAACCTGACAGACAAACTCAAGGTCCAAGCTGCAGATTCCTAAACTCATGACTGATGCAAATTCCAAACCCAACTCGTAGAAGAAGAACAGAGTACCGTCTGAGATGAAATTAATTTAGTTTAACTCACTCATTCGAGTTCATCGGATGATAAGTTGCTTTAGATAAAACAGCTACCCATTGGAAAGGACATTAGAAGACAAACTTCCCAAGAGAACCATAATTGCCAAACTGTGCAGCTTGATGCAGACTACTGGAACATATTCCAACTATAGTATGCCAATTCTAACGCCTAAATCTTCTCTTTTTCCCTAAATTATGATAAAGAAAACCATGTTCTACATAGAACTCAATCCTGCTCTGACTGCTTCAGTAAACATACACTGGCAAGCATATCAATGCATAACTCAACAGAATAGTAGCACATAATTGTTGAACATATTCCTTCTTTTATGTTGGGGTTGCTGGGGGTGGAGCAAATCAACCTTACATCAAGAACGACAATGAACATGAAAGACATGGACCCTAATTGACTTGACGCAAACAATGCAAATCAAAGGGATGGACAAAAAGAAAACAAATTCAATGTTGACCGCAAATTTCTTTCTTGGAACGCAGCTACCTCCATAAAGGTCTAAAAAGCATACCTCAAAAATCAGTAGATATAAGTACCAATAGTTTTCACAACCGCATGCCACATTGTGAAGCACAAAGATAATATAGAATGAACCACTATCGCCCAGATAATCCAACAAAAAAGCACTAAAGTCAGCTCCATACCACACAAGGGCACACACCTGAAAATGTGAACTGCTCAGGCAACGAGCAATTTGTCGAAACAAGGGCACCATGCATCGTTGAAACTCTGGTGGCTGAGTTGCTTCTAAAACTTCCTCCAACTCACTTAAGAACATCACTTCTTTTGAGCTATTCGTAACCGGCCAGTACTTAAGCAGACCCCTGATGACGGTATCAGCAAGTTTGCTATCCTTCTCCACAAACTGAGTAATGCAATAGGATAACTGTTGATGATACATAGCCAAGCACTTTGGCTTATGCAGGGGAATCAGTGCTCTCACAAGAAAAAGTTTGTGTTCTTCTTTCAGTGGCAGAGCAAACCCATTTATAATGCTACCGAGAATCTCTAGAAGTTCGGCAATGCCATTATGCTTCTCAGTCTCGAAAATAAACTGGTAAAATATGTTGTTGATGACTTTCCTAATGAATGGGCGATGAACCATAAATTTTCCGTAGATACGGTGCAAAATAGTTTTTAAGTATTCCCTTTCTCTGGGATCTTCTGAGTCAAACAAGTCTAACAATTTGAGAATGAAAGAGTGATCAATGTATCTTTTGGCCAATTTAGCGTCCGTCTCTGATGATGCAACAAACCTGAAGAAGAACTCATAAACAAGCTGCAAGTGGGACCATGCAGGATCCATCAAAGGTTCCTCTTCCTCCAGATCAAATGCTTCTATGGCTTTGTTCTCACGTGGTTGAGGAGTCAGTGCCCTAAATAAGTTGACGGATACCATCTTTGTGGCTTCCTGCATTACTGTTTCAGTGAACTTCCCATTAACAGAAGTTACATAGTCTACCAGCTCCGACAGCATCTGCCGCTTGATTTCCTTCTCCCTAAGGTTCTTTGTTGGGTCAGTGAAGTCGAATACAAAACTACTCAGATTCAGCTTCCTTATGAATAAGTGCTGCTTCTCAGAACTCGGCACATCTTTGAATCCAGGCAATGCTTCATAAGCAGAAGACACCGAATACCCATTAAGTTGGACATTTGAGTTCCGTGAAGTCTTGCTGCCCTGATTGGACCCCTTATCTGAAGCATGGTTTGGAGCGGAGCTTGACACCGGGTTCAGAGCCCCAGACTTAGCACTTCCTAGCTCACCACTTCTCGAGTTGATCGAAGCATTGGCATATGGATTAGAGCTTCCGCCATTATCACGACTGTCAGCTGATTTTGACGATTTACGTGGAAGCTTACTGAGAAGCTGTTTGAACATTATTCATACAATGCACTAGGCGTCACCTCTTCCCCGGAGAAAAGCGGCACCAGTTCCCAAGAGATGGCAAAGCCCTTCCTCAGCAAATCAGATTCCCTCACAACATATTAAACACCCACTTAAGCCACAAACACACAAAAATTCAGCTACCAATCCGAGCAAGAAAAAAGACGACAGATCATACTGCACAACAGCTTCGAATAATGTCCATTAGCAGAAGAAGAAGAAGACCATAAAAAAACCCTTCTTCAGGTTCATGCCCTGATGCTGAATTTCACCATCATCCGTCCTCAGAACTTGAAGCACCTAAAATCCCAAACTTTTTTCTGACCCAATTCTTAAAACCCCATGGGAATGCAAGAGCTGCTCCGATCGAAGGACAAGGAACAACCTTTTGATGCTCAGCTCTAGAAACCCCTCATGTTGTTCTCTGATCTCGGCTCAAAATGAGAGGAGCACCAGAGCATATTCACCACATTCGCTGTCCCCGTGTTCTCTAGCCACCAAAAAAGCAACCCCAACAACGAGCAACAACAACAACCTACTAAATTAACCCGAACCAAAAATGTGGAGATCAATGAGCGACATACCCAGATTGAAAAATGAGTGCAAGAACTGGAAAGAGGGGGTACTTACAGAGAAAGGACTCGACTTTTTGCCTTTTCCGCCGATTGGGTTCGTGTTTCTGGAGAAATTCTCGCAGGTTCCAAAAGAAAAAGATTAATTTTTTTCTCGTGATGATGGTTTTCTTTCTTCTGGAGAAGTAGCCACGAATCACTCTGCTCGCTATCGAATGGCGCTCTGGGTTTACTTGACAACCCCTTTTTTTTATGTTTTTAATAATAAAAAAAAACATATTGGTCAATTCAAGAAACGCGAAACTGGCGATCCGGAGGAAAAAGGAAGGCAGAAACGAGGAAACCCCCCAATCATCAATCGCTCGCACTGTAGTTTAACGCCGGGGTCGTCGTAAACGTGTTGTTGACTCTGAACTTTTTGGCCATTTCGGAAGGTTTCTGGCGCATGCTGGACATTTTGGTTTCGAACTCTCGATTCGATCTGATTGCTGAGAAGTTTTGGAAGCGATCCGTTCCACCGAAATCACCGGCGTAGAAACTTTGAATGAGCTTGATTTGGTTTTGTACTTTGTACTGATGCGACCTTAGGCTGATGAATTTGAAGTTTTTGGAGGCGTGCATGGACAGGACAACTTGGTCATCATCAATTCCAAGAGACGGCAAATTTTGATCCGACGGATTGAACTTGGAATTCCTACGTTTTGGTGGGGGAAGAGATGCGGTCAACTATGTCGCCCCTGCCCGTATGAATCCGGTCGTTCTTGCCTTGTGAACCACCTTTTGTTGATTCAATTATATGTTTAGTTCACATGTGACGACTTTATAAAGGATAGATTTTGATGTGATCACATGCTAATTATTTTACCAATTATGGTTCTTGATTTCTCGAAAGGACGACGTAACAAAATAGCTTCCACCTCGACAACCGTTGTCGTTACTATCACTGCCTCCACCATTTCGCTTCAATCACCATCATCATCTTAATGTTGATTTTTACTATGTGTAGGTGCCCCCTGACCCACGGTTCGAACGTGTAACCTTCATTCCTAAGTTGAAAATCCCTTGATGCTGCAACCAGCTGAAGCGATTTTGAGGTTAAAAAGTCATTTCTGGTTCTTTGTTTATCCGGTGAAAATGTGCTTGTTGTATGATCATTCATTCTTCCAATATTTAGTTACATAATTTACATTCGTGGTGTGTTTGTTTTGGGAAAAATTTCATAATAAAGAAAAAATGCTTTCTAGGAAATCATTTTTCGGGAAAATATTTTTCCTTTTCGAGTTAGGGATTACACAAATGATATCTGAACTTTGGTCCAATATACAATGTGGTCCATAAACTTTATATTTATTTAATGTGATTCCTGAACTTTAGCCCAATGTGAATGTGGTCCCTGAAGTTTGAATTTGTTCAATTTGGTCCATGGACTTTTAGTACACGTTCAATGTAGTACTTGAACTATATGAAAATGTTTAATGTTATCCATGATCTTGAATTAATGGAAGGACAATATTGAATATTCTCATATAGTTCATGGACCACATTAAATATTTACCAAAAGTTTAGGGATCAAATTGAACAAATTAAAAGTTTAGGGACGGCATTGCACATTCGGCTAAAATTCAGAGATCACGTTGAACAAGTTAAAACTTCAAGGAGCACATTGCACATTGGGTCAAAGTTCGGGGACCATTTTCCTAACTTTTTTTTTTTTGGTCATGAAGAAATTGATATCATTCACTCGAAAGAGTTTAGTGAAGACAAGTTTAAAGCTTCAGAGCATAGCAAATCATAAGGGGCTGGCGGGGATACATGATCCAATTACAAGGTAGGCAATTCATCCGTCGGGCCTTAGCAGCCCAGTCCGCAATTTTGTTAGTGCCCCTTCTGCGGTGGGCTAGAGAAAGGCTCGAGAAACTCTTAACTTTAAAAATGTATAATTTCTTTGATCGTTAATGGTTTTTCGTTGACTAATCAATTTCAGCAGACCAAATGTGTCAAAGTCCAGAAAACTAATTCGTCGGAAAACTCTTTCACTCGAACTGACACACTCTCGTTTCTTTTTTTAATCTGGCGATGCTCATTCTTAGTTGAGGACCAAAAAGATCAGGACAAGCTCTTGTTAGAATAGGAAGGGTCAAACAAGGAATTGGAAAGCAGTACTGATGGATTCGTACCAAAATCTATTATGATTCTATTAGAGTGAGAAAATGATGAATTCTGCATCAAATTACGGAGATTTCGTTGTCAAATGGGCCATCTCAACCGATTGAGAAGACATCCTTAGTACAAAGAAATCCATGCCACATGAAAGATTTGAAATTCTTGAGCAGTGTCATGAACTGCTTGTCCAAAGGAGTCTTTTCTAAGGAATTAACATTGAAAACACGGTTGCAACTTCCGTTGGTGAGCTTGTGACAACTCATGTAGCCATCAAGGATCATCCTTAAAAAAAAAATTATGGGGTGGAGCTCCGAGAACCGTCTTTATACGGAGCATTACGTATATTGATATGGTGTGATGGTATTCTGAAATTTGGATTGAACTCTCACCTGCATAGAATAGCCCATGGATGAATGAGTTGCTGCTCTTGGCACAAAGCTTTGACTTTCAAATTGCTCGGAAGAGTGTGAATGGGGTTGGGTCGGTGATGCGTCGGGTATGAATCGGACATGGGTATGAGTTACTAAATTTGTGTTACATTAAAGTGGTCGACATAGGTTAAATGGGTCTGTTTGGATCGGATCATTTCAAACCCGACCAAATCCTCGTTCGTTTGGGAAGGGCCTGAAAGCTTCAAATATTTGGAAATTGAAAGGGCAGGACGCTTTTTGGAATCGGCTTATTTTTCTTCCCAATTGCTAAGATTTTGTTTTTGTTTTCACGTGGCCGCGTGAGATGCGATCCCGCCTGCCCCATTCAACGGGTCCGGTGCGAAGAACAAGGAGCTGCGCCGCCTTCATATGAGTTGGGCCAGGCCACGAGGAGGTGTTAGGCGGAGGCTCATTGGGCCTGAACCCAGAAAGATATAGCTTGTCCCCAAAATCAGTGCATTGGCAAACGGGCAGACACATAGTCATAGGCGCACGCCAAAAGCCAAAAAACGACATTTATCAATCAAGATCAACTTGACAACTTTAGCAACTGGAATTTGGATTGATGGATTAACAACCTCTATAATTCCCAAATTTTTTCGTGATTCGAGATCAATATAATCTCGACTTGCTAAACCCAATAACTAGGGACAATAAAAAGTGTGGGGAGATTAGTGACGAACTGACAATTGAGTTGAGAGGGTTATAATTTTCGGGTATTTTGCTTTGAGTAGGATTATAACCCGGACCTACATGAACCCTAATAATACCCACACCTTGAACCCCTACCCGAGCAAGACTAAAGGCGGACCCCAAAATACATGAAATTTTAGGATACAATCGGGTCGGGTCATGCTTTTTTTACACCCCTAAGGGACAAGTCCACTATTCGACTTCCCAATTCAAATGTCATTTCAGGTTCCTACCATTTTCTAAGCCATTTTCTGCCCCCTTGCTTTATCTTTCTTTGCCGGAACACGAGGAATATCCCTCTCAAACCATGCTCTTTCCAAGGTTTCCCGACTTAAGCAACACGCGTTGGTCGTAACTTGAGACGATTGGAGCCGCAATCATTGGCCATTAACTTGGGACAACGTCGTGCCTTCTCTTTCTTGCGAGCTTGATCAAGCTCTGATCTTTTTGTCGTGGTGGATGATGGCCCCTTGTCGGAGGCCAAGGGGGAAGCTAAAGCTTTTTAGCTTCCAAGGCTGGCCAAGGATTTGCCTTTGTCCAAGGAGTCTTTTGAAGAGAGAAATCGAATAATATTATGTGGGGGAGGTGGCATATGGCGTACGTTGTCTGAGAAGGAATAGGATTCTTGATTTGGGGTGGTTTTTGACTCCCCAAGTTTACTCCAACCACCTCGATCAAAGCAAACTTCAACACATTAAAAAAGAACCAAAATTGATCCGGCCATGATACCAACAGGCATGCGATCCTGCTGGTAAAGAGATCGGGGGGAGGAGGAGAGTACCGAGTCCGGGACTCCGATATTCGATCCTTATGAGTACCGCACACACGTGTACATAGAAGAGAAAAGTGAAGACCAAAAAAAAACAATTTGGTCGTGATGGCCATAAAGGAAGAAGAGGCAAAGACACGGCTGATTCGGGTTCAGAGGCTGATGAATAGCATCTGTTGACGAAAGGATGGTGACAAGTTTGAAATGGGAGCGTTCCAAGATACTTGTTAAACCGTCGATTCGGGAAGCTTTACGGTTTTCAATGTACCGATTGTCATCGTGTTATCCACGACCGGTGCCTTAGAAATTGCATTGTTACGAAGAAAATATGCTTCTGTTCCCTCGACAATAGACGAGTGGCGTTTAAATGTTTCGACGGGTGGTTGTTGAATTGTTTTTTGGCCAGTCGATTTTGTTTGCTGTTTTTCTTCCCTAACCTTATTCTTCTTCCTCTCGAAAGAGGTCGTGTTGTCCCAAGTATTGCAAAGAATCAATGTGTCCAGTTCCTTGTTTCGTTTCCCTTCCGTTGAGGGGTGACTTTTTTCCACGGAAAAACTAATTCGGTCAACGAGTGCTCCGTGGACACTCGTTAAGCAATTACTCGAGGAAATTTTACAATCTCCAGCGCACCGACGGTTCTCGAGTTATGCATAATCTGCGGAGAAAATTATCCAAAAAATCATAACCCCATTTTACTTTTGCCAATCTAGTACTAAATCTTTCAATTTTGCCAATCGAGTCCTCAACCTTTTCGCGTTTTGCCGATTGAATCCATCCGGTCAATTTTGGCTGGAAATCACTGACGTGGACAAACATTTTTTAAATTTTTAAATACTTTTATTTGAATTTTCTGACTAATTTTAAAAATTTTAGTATTCAATTGGCAGAAATCGAAAGGTTTAAGACCGAATTCGCGAAATCGCAAATAGATTCGGGACTTTCCGAACAATTTCCCGACTCAAGCCCGCGTGTCGAAAAAATCGATTTTTCAAGGGGGGGCACTCGTGGAAGGCCAGTGAAACTTCCTTCTTCGACAAGTCATGGAACCAAATATTATAAAATAAAATAAAAAAGTGAATCGTTTTATGAAAATAAAATATATATAAATAAAAAATAATAATAATTCTAATGGAAGGTGCTTGTTTGACACTCTTTGTCGACCTTTGAACATGACGTCCGGTGCCCCCCCGGAACTGAAAGGGTTTTTGCCTTGCCTTGGCGAGGAAGGAGGTTTGAACGTGGGAAAAGCCGGGTGGGGCCCCGATAAGATATTTGACAAGCTGAGGTGGGTCAGAAAATGGGGATCCGGATCCGGATCCGGATACGAAGTCCCGATCCACCGTCGAAGCTCGACCCTCCACACGTTATTTTCGAGTGGGCCCAGCCGATCCCCCCCAACAACCAAAACAATTTCCTTTGACCCTGATGTTTTTTTTCGTTTTGTTTATTTTTTTCCCCGATTTTCATTTCTATATTTTTTATTCTTTTATTTTATCATTGATGTGGTCTCGGGATTATATTGGGTTCCGAAATTCCAATCCGGAAGCGTGGAGGGATACTTCAACACCTAACACGAGTAAGTTATGGATCAACTTAGATATTGATATTGGATTTTCTAACATAATTCACATGTGCAGCTCAATAATTTCGAAAATTTATATAAATCAGTAATCGCATTGCGAATTGAGATAAAGTGACGAGAAATTGAGCTAACTTATAAAGCCATAAAAAGTGCCATATGGAAATGCAACCTGAATTTCACTTAAACTTTTAAGTGAGTGCGGGTCCAAGTAAATATGTTCGACAAGGTCAAGATTTGGGCTCCATTTTGGAGATCTCCCCGAGTGAAAGTATCGAGCTTTGGGCCACTTCAATATGTATCGATCTTTCCTGAATATCATAAGGAGTGAACCTCGTGACCAACGTGGGCCCGATAATAGACTTCACGGTTTGGTCCGAAGAAAAAGACTAGAGATGAAGTTAGACGTTGATGAAGATTCAACTTGAGATAAGTCCTCAAATTAAAAGGGAAGAAACCTAAAACCGAGCTCACGCCTGAGGAGATATTGCTGAGTTGCACGTGTGAGTTGTGCTAGAAAGTCTCACATTGAAAAATTGGTGTGGTATAAAGAAGTTAATATATCTAAGTTGGTTCATAATCCATTGGTTTAAGCGCTTGAGCGAATGTGGGTCCCACTAGATATGTCGACAGGCTCGAACTTGGGTTCTCTTTTGGCATGACTATATTCGAGAATTATCGGCACGAGACACTGTTCCGCTGACCATGATATCGGAGCGCCGATGGTATGGTCTTGTTGTGATTTGCGGAACATCCCCGAGGGGCGAATCGGGGGTTACCTCATGACCACCTCTCGCTCTAACCATTACCGACAACGCACGCACCTACCCCCAACTCGAAGAAATCAAAGCCCCCCCCCCCCCCCCCCTCGCCAACTTCCCCGTTCGACAAACCCCGAAATCGAACCGGCCCCGCCCGCCCCACCCGACAACGCGAGCGTGCGCTTCAAGAAACAACGATGCCTCCCTCAACCCAATCTGTAGCAATCAAACGTCGTCGTCGTCGAAAGGGACGCACTTAAATTGATGAAATTGAAAAGAGCAGGACGAAGGGCGACTAAATTGGTAAATTATTCTTTCTAGGGTAAATTATTCGATGCCTCCATCCACCCCCTCCCCTTTTTAGGTGGATTGAGATAAAGAGAGTGGGGGTTAAGGGAAGGAATGATGTTTTACCCTTTTGATGCGTGGAAGAAATTATCCCGGAATCTCGAGCGATTTATTTAGTGCTTACCCCGATTAGCTTTAAGATACGCGGGTGTCGGGATTTCCGGTTTTACCCCCCCGGTCTCTTCTTTGTCGGGAGCTCCTCTCGAATTTGTTTTCTTCTTTCTTTTTTTCGCTGCGTTGATGCGGTTTTGGAAACTAAGAACGAATCGGCTCTTTATATTTGTTGGTTTTTTTTTCCTTTTTTAGTAGCGGATGCCCTTTTTTTTCCGGTTTGTCGCGACGATCGAGATTTAATAAGATCATGACCGTGACGAGTTGTCCGAGTTGGTGGAAGAAACGAGATTCCGTTCGTGAAGATCCAAAGGATGCCGATGTTGAATTACAGCGTGCTGTCCTCCTTTCAAACTTAAGGGACGGACTTATCATTTTGCCCCGTGTATCTCTCGATTTGCGACATTGACGATCGACTTTTTTAATAGAGCAAGAGAGATGAGTTTAATGAGGCGCTAAGGAATTCGTCAAATGTCACTCGACAAGAACAATCAAGATAGCTTTGTTCAAGAACTTGCAGGCGGGTGATTTTTTTTTTTTTTTTTGGTCCAACTAGATACCATTTCGTTCATTCATTCAAAGTAGTACTTAACAAGTGTTGAAGATAAGAGTCAAGGCATAATAAATCCCAAAGGTGTTGGGGTGGCTTAGATAGCCAATTACATGGGAGTATCCTTTTCGGATTGGCCTTCGCGGGGTGTGATTCGATGAGCGGATTGAACATGAAATCGTCAAGTGCGGTTGGGTAACTTCAAAATCGGGTCTAAAGGATTTCAAGACAAGGCCCAAAATTTTAAAAGTTTTAAATTAAATAGAGGACAAATTCCGCCTGAATGGCCGCGCGTACTCTCTCATCCTGTTGGATTTGGCAGCGCAATTCAGTTTTCATCTTCTTCTATTTTTTGGAATCTAATCAAATTGAACTGCGATTGCCCTCGATTGCTCGTCCCAATGGCTCGCACACCCCTCAAATATAGAACAATCAAGAGAAATAAAACACAACGAAAATCACGAGCAAATGGGGAATAATAATCGAATCCAATGATGACGTGTAAATTGCCTATTACCTATATATGTGTATATATATATAAGCTAAGAAAAAGTCTGACAAAAAAGAAAAGAAAAAAGAGAAAGAAGAAGCTAAGAAAAGAAATGGAGGAGGGTTTCGGATCCGGGTCAAAACCCGGGGAAAGCAGGAACCGGCAGCAGCGATCACCCGCGACCGGAGCCACCCAGGGGCGTCGCCGAGGGGAGAAAGATTCCCGCCTCGCGTCGCCACCCTTTCCAACCCGCGAAGGAAGTGTAGAGAGCGCCCCCCCCCCCCGCCAACCACCGACACGTGTCGGTCACCTCCCCCCCAGCGGTCGCCCACCCTAATTTTAGACAGCAGCAACTTCACCGTTACCCTCCTCCTCCTCCTCCATCACACTCTCTCTCTCTCTATTTTCTCTCTCTTCGGGTTCCTGGTTCCTGCTGCTCTCGTCTTCCCCCTCTCTCTATCTCTCTCTGGTTCCTGATCGAATTCAATCCCTCCTTCGTCATCATCATCATCTTCATCTCCATCTCCATCTCCTTCCTTCCTTCCTTCCTTCTTCTTCTTCTTCTTCTTCTTCGGCGACAGGCAAGCAGGGACGCTCGAGATCTCTCTCTCCTCCATCCCCCCCCCGCGCCAAAAAAAAAAAAAAAAGGAAGAAAAACAGGTTCTTTTTTCGGTTCTTGTTTTTTTTTTTCGGCCTCGGCATTCGCTCTGTTCCTCTGTTTTTCTCTTTTTTTTTTGGCCCCGCCTTTTGCGAATTCCAGCTTCGGGAGGATTCGATTCGGTGCCAGAGGGAAATCGGGTCTTCGGTTTTTTTCGCCCCCCGTTTCTTTGCTTCGCCGATTGCGCTCTCCGAAGCGGCGGCGGATTCGGTGGGCGGGCGGGCGGGCGGGTAGGGGGAGCTATCTTGATTCGGTGGTTGTGGGGTTCCTTCCGATTCTTTCATTGCCCCGTTCTTCGGGGGATTCAATTTCGATTTCTTCCCTAACCCTAGCTCTGTACAGCACGAAAGAGAGAGAGAGAGAGACGGAGACAGAGAGAGAGGGGGAGAGAGAGAGAACTGTATTCCATTGATTCTTGTCCTGTATAGCTATAATGGGGATCTGACTGTAGGTTTATCAATTTTCGGTTCCATCGTGTGGAGGGTTTTCTTTCTTCCTTCCTTCCTTTCGTTTTTAGGGTTTCCTCCGTTCCTTACTAGCGAAACTCTATGAGATTTTTGATGCGTTTTTTTTAGTTCGCCATCTGAAATTGAGGGTTTCCCTTTGCTTAGCAGATCTTCCACGTTCTTGCCGCCCCCCCCCCCCCCCCCCCACCCACCCGCCACCCCCCACCATTCCTTTTATAGTTCCGTTCCCTGCTTTTCCCAATCGAAAAACCCAAAAAAAAATTAGGGAGATAGGAGAGAGAGAGAGAGAGAGAGAGAGGAAAAAAAAAATCCAGCCTTTGTATAGGCATTAGCCGTTTCTGTAGATAAAGATGGCCTTGAACTTCTCTCATCGTCCGGTTTTCGCCGCCCATCTACCGGAGGACAGCTTGGTGTCCCCGATTAGGATCGCCAATCGGTGCATTGTGGAGGGTGTTTCGGAGAATAAGGTGGATGGTGCCGATATGACCTGGCTCTTGGAAGGGGATGTTAAGGATCGTTTGGATTATGGGAGGGGTAGGTGTGATGGGGGTGGGTGCTCTCAGGATTCGGTTTCCGGCGACATCCTCGACCTCTTGCCTTCCGATCCATTCGGGATGGATATAAGCACCACTTTTACGGCTATAACTGGTTGGCTTGAGGATTTGGAGATGAATTATGGTGGCTACGCAAGTGATTTTGCTGGGGCTAGTCCTGATGATTACCATCTGTTTGCGGGATTGAATTTTATCTGGAACAATGCATTGAGATTCCAGGCTTTTCCCGGAACAATCGGGTTTAATACCGATTCTAGTCCGTTCAGCAGCATGTGTCCTCACTACGGGGTGAAGGAATGTGCGCATGGCTCCTGTGATGTTGGTTTCGGTTCAATTAGTGAATTTTCTGGTTATCCTGATTCCTTGGAAGCAGGAGATGCATCTTCCTTTGATCTGGGTTCACCAAGTGGACATCATGGGTGTTCAGAGGAGGTCATGAAGGGACAGGACCCTTGTGATGGGGAGTTTGGATTGACAAATGCACTTGGGGGATTATCTGAGGTTATGGAGTCGGGACAGGTATCCTGCCATGTTGGCTTTGAATCAGTAAGTGGCTGCGATCAATGTCCTGAGGTGATGGAAGATGTAAATGCACCCTACCATCTTGGCCTCGTATGCATTGGTGGATTTGGCAGGTGTTCCCTGGAGAACGGAGTTTCTGGGGTGTCTGATGACATGGATGGCTTATTTCATGGAAGCAGTGGAAGCTCCGGGTTTCCGGACAACCACTCAAGTAAAGACCCTGAGCTTTCTGCTGGAACTTGTTCCTTTGTCAACGGAGAAATGCCTCACTTAGCATTTTCTTTGGCTCTTGGTTATCTGGGTGTCCGGGATCTTCTCGCTGTCGAGAATGTTTGCAAATCATTTCGTTCTACAGTTCGAAATGACCCCTTCTATTGGAGGAATCTACATATACATCATCCTCTGAATGACAAGATTACTGATGAAGTTCTTCTGCAATTGACCGATAGAGCTCAAGGTACTCTCCAGTGCTTGAGTCTGGTAGAGTGCCCAAGGATCACTGATGATGGTCTGAAGCGTGTCCTTGACAGTAATCCAAAGCTAACCAAGGTATGTATGGATCTTTTAGGGTTCTATTTGTTTCTTGATTCTTGTTCTTCTGTATTATTCACCACACTCTTAATTACATGATGAAATTTAAGTGTCCGGGGATATTTCAAATGGTACCTATTAGGAGTGGGGGGTTTTAAACATCATTGTAGTCTATATCTATAAGTTGTTCCATTTGTTTGATTATTTGCATTTCTTGATGAGCATGTTCTCACTCATGGTATTGAGACGTGTTATGGTCCTGTCTTTCCTGTTTAAATTGCATAATTTATTTGCTTAAGCTTCCTTGTCTGCAAGTTCACTTTTGTGCCCCGTATGTCATGTACATCTAGCCAAAAGTGCCATTTGACTCTCACTTTTAAACTATAAGGCATTTTAATTTTAAAGAGGAAAAGGTAGCATTGGCCAAAGAAAGAGGACAAATAGGTAAACGAAAGAAGGTGGAATATACACTTCCCACTGGAAAACTGCATTTTGTGAAATTGCTTGATTGTCTTTACAGTGCAACAATTTACTTCATCCTTGTACCAGTGGAAATCTAAAAGGCTTCTCATTTTCTTTTTGATATCAAATAAATGTTTTTTTTTAGTTTTTTGAAAGAATGGCAAAATGCTAATCTAATGTTTGTTGTTAACTTAAATATTTACTTTAGTTCTTAAAAGTAATATCTATGTTTGTTATTAATTTATTATGTCGCACAAGGAATGAAAAAAGGTTGTGACGCGTAGCCCGTGCATGGACACTAGTATGTGTAAAAGCAAGTAGGAGCTTGTTGATAGGAGAGGATATGGTGGATGACTTTGTCCATTTGAAGGAGTTATTTGATGTCCTATACTGGTTCCAAGCTTGAGTTGGTCTTTGTGGTATCTTAATTAATTGCTCACTTGTTCCTTCTCAGGAGGGAATTGAGATCAGTTAGAAGGAGATGTTTTACCTGTTTCACAGTGTTGACTTGTGTCCTTTCTTAATGATACATTCAATATTGTGTGATCTATTCTTCTCTTATAAATTTTGATTTGTCTTTTATGGAGACCTAAACCTTTATTCTTCCTTATACAGCTCTGTGTACCTGGCTGCACAAGACTTAGTATTAATGGCATTTTGGATGGCCTGAGAACATTCAAGTTGATGGGTTCCCTCAGAGTAAAGCATATTAGGATTGGTGGGCTTTATGGGGTAACGGAGGAACATTTTGAGGAGTTGAAGTCCTTGTTGGGGATAGCGAGTGAGAAGCAGCAGAACCTGAATGCCCTCAAGCCATATTTCTATCACAGAGAGAGTATGTACTTATCATGTGAGGATGATCGTACCATTGATATTGAGACGTGTCCGAGATGCCAGAAACTGAGGTTGGTCTATGACTGCCCTGCCGAGGTTTGTCAGGGTAAGGAACATGCGTCTCAAGTATGTAGGGCCTGCACACTGTGCATAGCTCGGTGCGTTCAGTGTGGTCGGTGCATTAATGACAATGAATACGAGGAAACCTTTTGTCTGGAACTGCTCTGCTCAGATTGTTCAAAGCATCAAATTCTGAAGCGCCACGAGATTGAAGGTAGCGATGTTGCTATCTCAGATTCTACTGCCCACCATGAAGACCCACAGGGCTCCTCAATCCGTGGCTGATGAGTAAGGCTTCTCATCGGTCTTTGGTCTACGAGCAATGCTGTTTTCTTTTTTGTGCCTTGCTTTTAGGATCAAACAGGGCATTGATATAAATAAAAAATGAGGCCATCTGAAGCTGCTTCACTTTCTCTGGCAGTCATATGTCATTCTCACTTAGCGTGATGTGGCGCAGCTTGGAACCAAGGTGTGAAGAAATGGTTAGGTTTCGGTCTTGGAGCTGGAGGATCTGTTCCGATCGTTCCCTACATGGAATGCTTGGTGACTGAGCCATTTATGTGAAACACAGACGACATGTCTGGCGACCCTGTGTGGTCAATCTTCACACTGTGTACGGTTCGCACGCAGTCGGCTGTGTATTTATTTGGGTGCTATCTTGAGAAAAGGGGGTTAGAAAAGGAATAAAAAGAAAATCTTTAGTATAGTACTATGTGACATTTGATTAGAGTTGATAGGACTCAACCTAGGCAATAATCATCCCGAGTTTACAATGTCTCAAGGTGTTCGGCGAGCACTTGTTGTACTTGTATTAGTTGAATTGTTTACTCCCTATTGTTATTATGGGTTTTCACTGCCTAGAACAAATAAAAGAAGGTATATGTGGAAGACGTGTTAACATTGTTCTGTTTAGTTGTGTAATTTGAATCTGTATTCCTGTTATTGGAATTTGCAAGTAGTAGTTGCAAGAATGGAGGTTCTGCATATCTTCGCTCTCTTTGAGGACTCCTTGGAGGGTAATGTTGCATCTTTATCATGGAACTTCGAAACGCAACTTTGGGATGGTTCGAGTCTGCTTACGAGTTTATATGCATATGTAGTTAGAATTCTATACATGAATGAATCACGTCAGACCTTGTATTGTGGTCCATGACGAAGTTGGATTTGCCGAGAAAGTATATGACAGTTCTTGTCAGGTTAAGGACAGTTTTCCATACTCCTTCGGGGTTGATCAAATGATCGATGATAGGATTATGCGTTTGAGGTGCGGTTTAATATATCTTGAACTTGTATTGGATTTGACTAATCTTACTTACTTGCCAATTAGATGATGGGGCAGTCTTTTTTCATGTCATCGAGTCCTTAAGCTTTAGTAGCTCTTATCCTTCCTGTTGATTTGGAAGCCGCCAATCATCGACAGCACTAAGAAATCTTGAAGTTTCAACTCACGTGTTTTCTCTCAAACCAATTCTTCTCGAGTTATTAATGAATAGGACCCTTGTGGTATGAATAATTCGTCATTAGCAAATGGACATCGTAGCTTAGATACATTTTGAAAAGCTACGAACTTCTGTTTTGTTTTGCATTGTATTAAACAAATGGGCAAAATGAAAAGCTCGTGCCCGATCCTGCAAATTCGCATGAGCACCACTTGACGGCCATGCAATTTGCCCATTCACGTATTCATTTCTTAAGATCGCCAAAAGCTTGTGCCCGATCCTGCAAATTCGCATGAGCTCCACTTAACGGCCATGCAATTTGCCCATTCACGTATTCATTTCTTAATTACTAGGTTAACTTAATGAGGAAGGTTTCATTCTTTGTTTTCACTTGTTGTTTGTTTCGCCATCTTGACTCGTGATGTCACCAGATGAAAGATGCTCACTGCTGAGGCATCTTTTGCATCATTCCACTGAACAAGCAGAATTTATACGCCTTCCAATCAATGTGGAGATCATTACAGGAGAAGACAGCGTACGAACTTTATCAGTGGTGATGAACTTCAATTGACATTTTGGTTCTTGCGTAATATATTTCCTAGTTAGATCAACGACAAGTTCATACGCATGTAATCGATATTGAAAGAATAATGCGCACGGAAATAATCTTTAATGGTTCGAATAAAAAATTTACTAAGAAATGATGAAAAAGAAACCTCGAACAGATAATTTCTTTTCTGCATGATGTGAGGAGAGAAGAGTGTTCCTGTGTGATGAATTACTGAGGGAGGTCACAAAAGAAAGTTTTCTACATAACAACATTCTTAAGGAAAGAATTCGGATCTGCTTGAAGCAGAATTCATCTCTTGTTAGGTGACTTCTTGCACAGCTCTTTCACCCACTGTATGCTGAATTTCTTCTTCCCAGACTTCGACCCATCTTTCCGCTTCTTCCGGTCTTCGGATGCCTGCGCCGGAGGCGGGTCGTCATTGTAGTCCCATTGGTCCGCCCACGACAGCCCGTTGTCCATCTCTATCTCTCTCTCTTCAAAAATCTCCTCCTGTCTCTTGTAAAAACTGCTTGTACAAGGTCTTCAAATCTCTTCAATTGCAATCCTCAACCAAACATATCAATGTGAACCAGCTCCATTCCCAATGAAGCTTCCTTAATTTGTGTGGACAATAGAATGGTATCAAGAGGGACAAACCGCAAATGTTTGACCAGGTCAACCTCTTACCACTGACAGCTTGATTAGGGCTAAATTACAGCAATGCCTTCAATTTAATTGGAAAATTAACTGCAGCCATGCATCTCATGATGCCTAATAATAACACTGGGTGATTTTGCACTGTCATAATGATGCAAATAGTTGGTTTTGGCAGGCAACTGTCATCCAATTAACTTAAATTGGCAGTCCTTGATGAAAGTCTTTTCATTCTTCTTTGGAAGTAGTGTACTATTTTCTGAAACTATATTAATATTTCATTAAGTTATACCATATTTATCTATCTTTAGGCCAGAAAACCATATGATGTTTATTGGTATGTAGTTGTTTCTACAAGAAATTTTAGTTTATTTGCAAGTCATTCAAATTTGATACATTTACTTATGGGAAACTAGCTATTGGCTTTAATATGACATTTCATTTATTTTGAGGTAATAAAATTTTACGTGAGGATTAAGAATGTGGTTGATGCATAAGTGCATACTTAGATTTAAAGGGAAAATAGAAGCTTAAAGCTTGGTTAATTTGTTGATGATCTTACAAACAGATTAGATTATGCCCTTTCTTCAACGACCATTCATTACGTATAGTATAGTTATACCATGTTTGTGAAACCCGTGCGCAGCTTAGCTAAGCTTGGCATGCTGCGAGTTAACATGATGACCAATAATCTTTCAGGATGATGTTGTAAACGATCAGACTATAGTTATTAATATCTTCAATTTTCAATTGGTCTCTCGGGAGATTCGATTTGAGGTCCAATCCATACGCATTTGTTAGACAATATCGATCAAAATACCAAATCATAAGCGTATCTTTCGATTCACTACCAAATATGCCGATTCAATATGTATGCATTGGTAAGTTTTCATGTTAGGAGAAACTTATTTATCTAAAAAAATTACAATACCATCCAATTCTCAATTCACAATTTGTATCTCGATTTAACAGTGCTGCAGACCAACTTCATTCGACATGTTATATGATCCAATGGCTAATTGTGGATGGCATAAAGTTTTTGCCTAAAATTTCAGATGAGATGAACGGCCATAACACAATTTTAATTCGTACATTTCGACAAACAACTGGTGGCTGCGGGTCGGCTGGCCTACCAGACTTCTATGATCAATCATACCATGTTGATAATCCTATAAAGAATAATGTAGCACAGGAATGTGATTCCACTAAAATGGGGAAAGGAACCACATAGTCATGCTCAGCATTTCAAAACTTGATCACCTGAAAAACTCAACATGACCTGCAATCTCTCTACATGACAATTTCGCCTCGCTAGCCAGTTTCAAGCTCTTGACGATCGCGAGTCCTGTCTGTCGGTGTGTCGATGCAGGCTTATATGAATTGGCCTCCTCTTCCTTTCCCATCAACAGAGCTTCCCTGGCGGGCACTACGTTCTCCCACCAAAACTCTCGTAAAATCCCGTGAATTAGCTCCCAATAACCACGATCCCTGCACACATGCAATATGGTGCTCCCATTAGGCGTCCAACAGTACAAATCCACCCAATCGCGATCCATTATCTCCATCTGGCCCTGCACCTGAGGCATGTAATAGAACGGCATGGTTGTCCAGGGCAAAGCTACTTCAGGCTTTCCCTTATTGTAAGGGCACTTCACTTCCAAGATCCCACCTCCCAGAAAGCAACCAAGGAGGCCATCGGGAGACGCACCCAGCCACTCAAACCGTTCCTCCGAATGAGTGGCGAACCCCAACAAGCTAACTTCACGACCCGTGATGCTTTTATACCTGTCTATTGCCGCCGCTTCATTCAGAACACCCCACTCCATGGCACACATTTTGGAAGGTTCCGGGATTTGCATTTCTGGTGCAAAAACTTTCTCCTTCCAAAGCTCAAAGCGACGGGTCCCTTTCCAGAATCCCAAGGCCGTGCTAAAGGTGCTTGTTGTGAGCTTATCCTTCCGTAGGGAGAACCATTCTTCGGAGCGTTGCGGAGCATCAGACGGAATGAAGCGAGCAGTCAATACTAATGGTGAGGGGGAACGAATTATGATAGAAGAACTAGAGGAAACAAAGGATGTGCCACAGCTGGATAAGGTTCGGGAACGTCTTCTGGTTCCATGCTTTCTTGTAGCAGGAAGTGGTGCTGATGATCTGCAATGGAAGCTGCGGTATCTGGTAAAGCAGGAGTTGGCCATTGCTGCAAGGAATCACACTTTTGAGGGGAATTTTATTCGGTTCCCTGCAGATTAAACATGTCACCTGAATTTTAGTCGAAGACTATATGAAGCAAGTGACATACATCTATTCATGAAAAAAAAGTACACATTAAATTAACACAATTGAACATTTGAATGTCATACAAAACACAATTGCTTCGTCGCAGGACCAATGGCCATGCCTACCAGCCCATGGCAGGTTGGTAGGATAGCTGAATATTCCAACAGGTCCATTAAAAGCTGATGGAAATGGCTGATCTCCAATCACAAAGACCAAAAATCAGCCTTTTCTACCAGTTGACACAGAGCTGATCAGAAAATGACAGCAGCCTTACAAGACGATCAGAAAATTGCAACAGAATATCTTCTCTTCAAGATGTTGCCGGCATTACAGTTGCTGCTACCTGAGACAGAGTTGGTGGGTTGAGGTTCTGTTTCGTGAGAGATAGGGGAGATTGTTCTCATCAACGATAATGGCCACAGGTCTAGGGTTTAGGCAGCACTTTGGATGTGGAGTGTTAGGGTTTCTTGGCTAAGGAATGAAGGAAAATTTGCTGGCAAAGGGTACTGGAGGACACTTTTAATTTTCCCATTGCATACTCAAGTGGTTTCTTCGCCCATTTTTTTGCAATGATCATTCAAAAGGATCGAAATGTGGATGTTCCAGGGAAGTTAATTTCTACTTTAAAAGAGCTGCAACAACTTCACTTCAATTTTAAAAGTTTTCAACAGAGGTGAGGAGGATGTAACTAAATCAAGAGCTGGTTAAACGACTTTTCCAGTTCCCCACTTCTTAAGGATAGAACTTATGCGTCATGCCATTATTCTTGTTTTCTCCTGCAGGTTTACGTATATACCTTTCCCCGCATTCTTGATGTTCTCTCGGTTAGTATCTTGACAAGCACAAGCACAGGCATCTGTTATTCATTGTTTCTCTCTGCACATTTACCTCTAGTCGGTCATCATACTTCGAACGTAAAGCACTAACTGCAACAGAGGAAACATCTTTCCCCACTCAATCTACCAGATATACTGTAATTGTTCCTTAAGAAAAGGTGATTGTACCTACAAGTCAAGTATAGTTATCATGTGAATCAATGAGAAGAATCGCATTTAACTTTCTTGAGTTCGCGCGCGCAAACCACATAGTACACGAAAATATGGAAACCAAGATAAGTTTCCTTGTCGACAGGAGAATCCGAAGCACTTCCGGCGCCAGAATAGTCGCCCGGAAGTTGCAGTCCCCCTCTCTCCCTCCCACAACCACCGCCACCGGGCAACCCACAAGTCAAAATACTAAAATACATGTGTTCTTCACAAACCCAGAGAAAAGTACAGTCCAAGGATGGAACGGCAGTTCAGCGCCGTACCTCCCCTTCTAGCCTAAACCCACAACATCAGCGATCAAACCAATCCCCAGAACATACATACTTCATCATGAATCTAATGAAAGAATAAGAAAGCTGTCACGCGCGAACAGAAGCGACATACCTCGCAGCTATCGCCGCTCATCCTCCATTGCCAACGGAAGAATGGAAGGCGCGGATTGAAGCTACAGAGAAAAACCCGCCTGCGTCATCGACCGCGCGAGCGGCTCCTGAAGGTGGGTTTCGGGTTTACAGCGCCATTGGCGCTAGGGTTTTTGCGAAATCCAAGCTTCGGAGCAAGCAAGACAAGGAAGCGATAAGAGAGAAGACACGGGCAGGGGAAGGGGCAGGGGCAGAGGCAGGGGAAGACTCTGCCGGTTCAGCTTTTCCGGCCGTTTTAGAGCGTACGGACGTCGTTTTTGTGTTGGAATACAAAACGCTGTCGTTTTGCAACAACAGTGAAAGCCCACGGTTGTGCACTAAGGATTTCTCATTTGGCTGGTTATGAATTGCGCCCCCATCACAATAGGAAAACCTATTTAGGGATCAAATTATGACTCTAAACAAAGACTTGTAAACTTTATTTCGTACCATTTGTAATAAATTACGTTTCATCGTGCATGCTTCTCAATCTTGTACATAACGTTATCTCGAGCATCATTGAATTGAGAACATTCCATTTATTTCGCAAACGCTATATGTTAGTTGAATCTATATAGAATGTATTTGGATAAAGACAAAAGACTTGAATCCAGACATTGCAAACACAGTACAAAAAAAAATTATGGCTTTTCTCTTTTCCTTCTCGATCAATTCTATTAGAGAAAATGAAGTGGGGTTTGAGATTAATGTGACCTAATTTATGTGACCCAACATTTAGCTCATTAATCTTAATTAATGACCAATTATATCAATATTTTCTGCAGAAAAGGCAACAGAATCCTCGTTGAGTCAAAATCAAAACACTTCATTCAATTTTATGCACTGGATTCGATCATCCAAAGCACACCAAAAGCTCCAAACAGAGGAGGAAAAACCCTCTTCTGAGAAAAGTGCAAAACAGAAACAAGTTTAAGATGTCTTGCACGTTCTTATGCACAAGACCTTCTCTCAAACTTGCAATGAAGACATCAAATGCTTCTGAATCTACAAAATGTTCCTAAAGAAAAACGGGGCCTATGCATTGATCTGTCGTGCCCTGCTAGGCCCGAGCATTGATCTGTCTAGACAAAGCAGCACATGCATTTCCAGTCGAGTGCCATTGAATCCGGGTTCGATTTGTTTCTCCATCGATGCCGAGTGTTCTCCTGGTTTTTCATTTTGTACATGCCGCTCGCTCTTCCGCGGTTTTTGTAGTGGTCAGTAACACACTGTTGGCGAACATGCGAGGAAGGCATCATTCAAAGATCATGCAAGCCAAGGATGCTGGAACGAAAGCAACCTCCGAGACTCTAGAGAGCATGAGAGTCCTTAAACTTCATTCCAGGGAAGCGACATCCTTGAAGAAGATTCTCCGATTCCGAGAGACGGAGGGAAGTTCGCTGAAGAGATACCTCTACACATGCTCCGTGGTGGCTTTTCTCTTCCGAGCTTCGCCAACTCTAGTTTCGGTGGCTACTTTCGGCGTTTGTGTTATCTTGAAAATACCATTATCAGCAGGTACAGTTCTTTCGGCTTTGGCGACGTTCAGGATTTTGCAGGAGCCAATCTATCACTTGCCCGAGCTCATTTCCATGATCACACAATCTAAGGTCTTCCATCAAGTTCCTTGAAGAGGATCATAAGAAGTATTGGCTTATCAATCCCCAAATCCATCAGATGCTTCTGTCGAGATTGAGACCGATGAATATGCTTGGGGGTCAGGCGATGAAAACATTGAAAACACCTCCACTGAAATCTCGGAGAAGATTAAACTAATGGAAGGTTACAATGTTGCTGTTTGTGGGTTGGTTGGATCTGGTAAAACGAGCTTGTCGTGGAGTATGCTTGGCGAGATTCCTAGAACAGCGGGGGAAGCAATAAGGGTCAATGGAACAAAAGCGCAAGTACCACAGAGTGCTTGGATTCAAACCGGAACTGTGAGAGAGAACATCTTGTTTGGCAGGAAATTGAATTGCGGCTTCTATGAAAATGTTGTGGAAAGTTACGCTATGAAACAGGATGTCGAGATGTGGAGCGATGGAGATTTGACGGTGGTTGGCGAGAGAGGGATGAACTTGAGCGGAGGACAGAAGCAGAGGACAATTAGCATGGGCAGTCTACAGATTTGAAGAAGAGAAGGATCTTGGTTTTGGATGAGGCGACGGCTTCAATTGACACGGCGACCGATAACCTGGTTCAGAGGACTATCAGGGAAGGCGGGTAATTTGCACTGTCATAATCGTTGCTCACCGGATTCCCACTGTCATTGACAATGACCTGATTATGGTTCTTGATGACGGTAAGCCCTTTTTGTCCTGTTAAATATAAATTATTACACAATGCTATAAGCACAGAGATTTAACATAAGCGAAACTTGAAAACTTGCCTGCTACCACATGGAGATAGCAAGGATCAAAACGAAGACAAAAACTTGCCACGCCACCTGAGACATCAGGGCGATTATACTTAACAGCTGAATTAGACCAAACGCCAACCCTGTTAATCAGTAGGGAATTTCCGTGTCCATTATGCTTTGATCCTTGGAAGACTGGAGGGGAAAAACAATGCTGATGTGAATCTCTGGCACAGTAAGTATCGGATGAGTGACCTATAAAGAACGCAGAACTTCAAAGAACAAACCCTTTTAGCTTGAAGGCGTGGAGTCAAAGAACGAGACGGGTGCACGGTCATTTTTGAATCCTGTGGACTGGCATGGCTGGGACATGACCAGGTCATTCACCAGCTTGAAAGGAAAGCTCCTTTCTCTCAATCAATCATTTACCTTGCTCAAGATAAATCCCCGTGGCAGCTGTTACTAGATGATCTCCTCACAAACTTGGCTGCTAACTTTGATAATGAAGAGAACTTATTCCCTAGCAAAAGCTTCTTAGCGAGTCGTACTCGACTATCTTGCCCGCATCAACCAAACAGTGCTTGCGCATTTAGGTTCACACTCTTCGTGCAGTCAGAAGCATAGGAAATTTTCTTCAATTTTGTAATAATTTAAGTTTAACAGGACAAAAAGAGCTTACCATCATCAAGAACCAAAACCGGGTCATTGTCGATGAAAGTAGGAATTTGGTGAGCAACGGTTATGACAGTGCGATTACCCATCTTCCCTGATAGTCCTTTGAACCAGGTTATCAGCTCCCGTGTCAATCGAAGCCATCACCTCATCCAAAACCAACATCCTTCTCTTCTTCAAAACTGTGTTTTCCGGGCTTATTACATCACCATGGCCAGAGAACTTGCCTGGATGGTTGGGATACGGGAAGCTCCAATTCTTCGTCACCTCTTGGAATTAGTCACAGGGGTCGCAATAGTTCGATGTTTCAACCAGGAAGATCATTTCTTGAAGAGGTGTCTTAGCTTGATCGACACTTCCTCTCGCATAGTCTTCCATAACAGCAACAGTGTGGAATGGCTCTCCATTCGGATAAACTTCCTCTTCAATTTGGTTTCTTCGTCGTCCTGGTTATCTTGGTGAGCCTCCCTAGGTTGGTCGCGGATCTCAGTAAGTTCACCCTGCGGATCCCCAATTAGATCTTCACACTTCCCTGACTGAACTATGCATCCGTCTTTCATAACCTACACAGAATGGATGTGTCAGACAAAAGACATGATAAAATGCCTCACAAGGAGATGATGTCTTTTATGTTCTAGTAAGGTGTTGCTTGCTCCATGAACTTACAAGAATGAGGTCAGCGGCATCTGAAAATTCCAATGGATGGGTGGAATGTACAGATGAGTCCCAGTGGGCGCATTGGCAGTGCTAAAAGGGTCCTCCAGAAATTAAACATCGGAATCGCTGTAGACTGCCCGTGCTCATTAAATCCTCTGCTTATGTCCTCCACTCAAGTTCATCCTTTTCTCACAACCGCTGTAAATCTCCATCACTCCACATCTTGACTTCCTGTTTCATAGCGCAACTTTCCACAACATTCTCATAGAAGGCGCAATTCAATTTCCTGCAAACAAGATGTTCTCTCACAGTTCCTGTTTGAATCAAAGCACTCTGTGGTACGTGCCCTTTTGTTCCATCGACCTTTATTGCTTTCCCGCTGTTCTAGGAATCTCGCCAAGCATAGTCCACAAGCAGCTTGTTTTACCAGACCCAACCTACCTGCAAATAGCAACATGGTAACCTTCCGTTATTTTAATCTTCTCCAAGATTTCAGTGTAGGTGTTTTCAATGTTTCGTCGCCTGAACCCCAAGCATATTCACCAGCCTCAATCTCGACAGAAACATCGGATGGATTTGAGGATTGATCAGCCAATACTTCTTATGGTCCTCTTCAAGGAACTCGATGAAAAGAGACCTTAGCTTGTGTGATCATGGAAATGAGCTCAGGCAAGTGATAGATTGGCTCCTGCGAAATCCTGAACGTCGCCAAAACCGAAAGAACTGTACCTGCTGATAACGGTACTTTCAAGATATGCAAACACCGAAAGTAGCCACCGAAACTAGAGTTGGCGAAGCTCGGAAGAGAAAAGCCACCATGGAGCATGTGTAGAGAGGTATCTCTACAGCGAACTTCTCTCCGTCTCTTGGAGTCAGAGAATCTTCTTCAAGGATGTTGGTTCCCGAAAATGAAGTTTAAGGACTCTCATGCTCTTAGAGTCTCAGAGGTTGCTTTCATTCTAGCATTCTTGGCTTCCATGATCTTTGAATGATGCCTATCTTGCATATTCGCTAACAGCATGTTGCTAACCACTACAAAAACCGTGGAAGAGAGAGCGGCATGTACAAAATGATTAGGGCCAAAAAAACCTGGACTGAAAGCAACCATATCCTGTGAACATAGGAGCAGAAGTCTCCAGACTCTCTCAATGTCCACATTGATCAAATTTACAATATATCCATTGCTTAGACCGGCAAACTTGACCGATTGACACTTCTTTAAATCAATGCCAATAGGGCAGCTCTAAGTTTGCCAATTTGCTGAGCGCCAAATGCCACTGCCTTGGAGTCAACAACTCAGTAGTCTTTGAAGAAAAGAAGACGAACGCAAGAATCAGTCCAAAACAGTAGCTTGAATCTTCGCACTTGGATGACAAGAAATTCCCAAAGTTTTGTGATCAAGAGAGGGCCCATATATGAAGCTATTAAATTAATTCCTATCAGCAAACAAACATAAAACGTAAGTCTCTATGATATATTTGCCTCAAGATGCAACTAAAGAAAAAGAAGATACCAGAATAACCATAAGCACCTGCCACTACTCCATTTTTCGCCAGCGATCTCCATATAGCAAAGCTGATTTGCTTTCAGCAACGAACAAGCTCCAAAGTTCTGTTTCTTCAGCGAATTCTTGAACAACATGAAGCATGCTCTGCTCGTTCGGACTGCGCAACTAAAGGGATATGGCCTAATTCAAGCTTTTGCTGTCAACCTGTACTGAAAAGGGGTTCAGCCATGGAAATCTTAGTCGGCTCCAAAACTCAGCAATGTTGAAGCCATCGAAATCTCTACCTAGACTCTCTACCTCTTTCTGAAGCAACGGTTGGTTGAGATGATGACTACCGCTAGACTCGGTGGTGCAACAGCAGAAATGGGTAGTGAAAAAGCGAGGGATGCGAATTCAACAGTATTGGCTTGTAGGAGAACAGGGGGCAATTCCTTGGATTTTCTCAATGGGAACACCAAGTAAGAAGAGACAAAGTGTACAAAAAACAGCGAAATAGACCCACCAAAGAATTACGACCAAGAGGCCAGTTTCTTCTGCCTCCATCGAAACTTGTGTTCCTAGTGAAACATGAAATGAAAGATGCAAGAACCCAAGTAACAGCCCAAGAGACAATGTCATCATCCACAGTTCTGTGAACCCAATGTCGATAAACACAAAAGCCAACGGAGAAAATTGACCTCAGGACTTGATTGGTCAGAATTGATCATGTCTTCCACTCACTTGACTAAATAAAACCTCAAGGACTCGGTCTATGATCGTGCAAAACATTAAGGACTCACAGCACTGCTTCCCTCATGAATTTGCCCACATATGCAGATAACGCTCTCCACCACTTCAATATCTGATTTCGCATTGAGGTTTGCCTCCTTAGAGAATACCATCACGCAATACGTGGTCCCCCTTTTAGACCCCTCGCTATTCGAAGTTCACACCAGATCACCATATCTAATGCCCAGCAGGTTTTTTTTCCTCATTGAGGCCACAAAAATTACTCAACTATGTTTAGAATCTTCCTATTTTGAGCAGGGAGCACATGGATCCAACAGCTGGATTTTGCTTCAAATCTCCAATCCCCAGTCACCAGCCAGGATTCAACAAGCGAACCGAGTATAGAAACATGGTCAGACGAAATTAAATTGCCACGAACCACGTAACTTCACTTTTGCTATAAGGATGGTCTGCAAATTGTGCATCGGGAGGCAGTAAATACGAGACCCCGAAATGGACTTAATGTCACATGGGAAAGTCACTTTTGGTTTCTTCATGCATCATGACTATACAATGGAAATTGCTTTCAGATATATGCATCGAGTAATTGTCAAGGTTTTGGTAAGTCTTAATTTGAATAGAACGTAGAAGTAGATTTAGTTTAACCTCGTATGCTCAAACTAGTTCTAAGTTTCTAATTCGATATTAAAGTTTTTTTATAAAATAATAAATAATCTGAATTGGGTGGATACATAACTTTAAGCATAAGCTGCGAATCTTTAACTCTAGCATCGTGCACAATTTTATCCTAACTGGCCACAAAAAAATGGGTTGCACGATATATTAGAATAATTTGTTCAAAATATTTCTTGAGGCACATTGAAGATGATTGAGGGGGAGAGGAACTCGAGCGACAGCGGACCCAACGGTGGGGCAAGCGGTGGTCATCGTCCCCCGTCGTTGTTTGTATGTTAAGATTTGCGTTGCCGATATTTTCGTGTGCTTCCTAAAAAAATTTCACAGTTTGTCCCATGAACTTATCCCTCGCCTTCTCTCGGTTTAAATCTCATGTCCGTCTTTGAACTTAAGTGGACGCGAATCCTTATTGTCGAGCAGCTCTTAGAGTAGAACCTGAAGCATTGATTCCTTTTCAGAATGATTTATGCCCTGAATAAAGTGATGTCTTACACATTCTTCTGAAGAAGACCTTCTCGAACTTGCGATGCAGATATCAAATGTACTTATCGTTAATGATCAACCAATCAAGCTTCAGAGCAAGCAAGTCAAGGAAGCTATACGAGAGACACAGAGACAGAGACAGAGACAGAGACAGAGGCAGAGGCAGAGGCAGAGGCAGAGGCAGAGAGACTTTAGCCGGTTCAGTGTCCCCGGTCGCTTTAGTCTGTACGGCCGTCGTTTTTTGCGTGCGGAACCAAAGACCTTTCATGAAGCTGTCGCTTTTGACGTGGGCGGGCTTTGCTCTTTATATTCGTGCCACGCCAGTCCTGTCTTCTTGGGCTGGGTTCCCTTGGGAAATTACATTCGGTGGCTACTTCCGGCATTTGCCTTAGCTCGTTTCCATGATCGTGCAAACTTAAGGAAAACAACGCTGATGTCAACCTTTGGCTCGATAAGTATCGGACCAGTGACGTATAACATAGTGCAGAACTTCGAAGAACAGACCTGATCGAGAATTCGGCTTGAAGGCATGGAGTCAAAGAAGGAGACGGGAGCACACAGTCACAAATCCCGTGGACCCGCATGGCCAGGATGGAGTGGTGTTATGACCAGCTCGATAAGCAGCTTGAAGGAAAAAAGACTCCTTGTCTTGGTCTATCAATTACGTTCCTCAAGATAGATCCCAATTGCAGCTTTTACTAGATGATCTCCTAACAAACTCGACTGCTAACTTTGAGAACGAAGAGAACTTATTCTCTAGCAAGAGCTTCGGCGAATCATACTCGACTATCTTGCCTGCATCGACCAAACAATGCTTGCACATTTAGGATCACATTCTTCGTGCAATTAAAAGCTTAGGAAATGCTTTTTCGATTGTGTGATAATCTATATTTAACAGGACAAAAAAGGCTTACCATCATCGAGAACCAAAACCAGGTCATTATCAATGATAGTGGGAATCCGGTGAGCAACAGTAATGATAGTGCAATCACCACACTCTTCCCTGATAGTCCTCTGAATCTGGTTATCGGTGGCCGTATCAATCGAAGCCGTTGCCTCATCCAAAACCAGGATCCTTCTCTTCTTCAAAAGCACCCTAGCAAGGCAAGCCAGTTGTCTTTGCCCGACGCTCCAATTTTCTCCATCCTCGGCAACTAGGACAATTTAGCACAAAACTCAGAAAAAGATTTTCCAATGAACAGAAGGGAGTTCAAAGATTTCTCACGAACAAAGCCTTCATATGTTTGTCCATGATATAATACCTGGTGCATCAAGAAGCCTTGGATCCTGCCTTACCATCTCTGCTAGGTGACATTTGTTAAGAACCTACATATCGATAATTTTGTAGTCAATCACGCATTACAAAGAAAGTCATACTTTTTTCGATTTCTATAACTTTTGGTTTTACCTCCCAGATTTCTTGGTCTGAATGCTCTTCCAGAGGATCCAAATTTGTCCGAATGTTGCCCTGAAATAGGATTGGATCCTGTGGAATAATACTCAGCCGCAACCTCAAGTCCTGCAGACCAATTTTGCAGATGTCGACCCCGTCAATAAATATCCGCCCTCCTGATGGTTCGACCACCCTGAACAACGCTTGGATGAGAGTGGACTTTCCGCTGCCCGTTCGTCCAACAATTCCGACCTTTTTCCCTCCAGGGAACGTGCAGGTGATCTCCTTGAGGATCACTGGGAGAGAAGGAGCATATCGGATGCTGAGGTCTTGAAGCTCGATTTTTCCTTCATAAGGCCATTCAGGGTTCGGCCTGGAATCTTCAATCACCAAGGGAGCTTCGCTTGGTATGTTGGTAAATTGAAGAATTCTCTCGACCGAGATCATTTTGTTCTCAACATTGCACAGATTCCATATGACCCATGCTTGGAGCACGTTTAGGTTCAAGCCGTATGTCGCCACTAGCCCAGCCAAGCCTGAGATGGAAAGTTGATCGGTTCAAAAGTAAAGTTAGCCGGTCAAGGAAAAAGAAGGCAGCGAGACTAATATCTTCAAATCAATTTATGCCAAACACAGATACTTATTGATTGATTGCGTTATTCATAGCCCTTGAAATTTCAAACATTTTGGCGACCTGCTGCAATGTAATTGGTAATGGAGAGAGGAACTTACTGGGATCCACAACCGACCTGGGGAGGCTCACCAAGATGATCAGGACGACGAAGAAACCAAAATTAAAGAGGAAGTTTATCCGAACGGAGAGCCATTCCATAGTGCTGCTGTTATGGAAAACTATGCGAGAGTAATCGTCGATTAAGCTGAGACACCTCCTCAAGAAATCATCTTCCCGGTTGAAACATCGAACTAGTGCGGCCCCTGTGACTGCTTCCGAGAAGTGATGAAGTATTGGAGCCTTTCGTATCCCAACCATCCTGGCCAGTTCTCTGGCCGTGGTGATGTAATAAGCCTGCAAAACACGGTTTTCGCATGCAGTCAGCATGGCGTGTCAAAAATAAACCTGCTGGAAGCATATACAAAAATCTTTTACTACCTCAGATATAGGTCCTATCTGAAGTAGTAATCAGTAACTCCATGATGATATAAAGCACAGAGATTTAACATAAGTGAAACTTGAAAACTTGCCTGATACCACATGGAGATAGCGAGGATCAAAAGGAAGAGAACAAAAATTTGCCACGCCACCTGGGACATTAGGACGATTACACTTAACAACTGAATTAGAGCAAACACCAGCCCTGCTAATCGGTAGGGAATGTCTGTGTCCACTCTGCTTTGATCCGTGGAAGACTGAAGGAGAAAAAGAGGAAAAACAATTCCAATGTCAATCTTTGGCACAATAAATATTGGATCGGTGACCTATAACAGAAATCAGAACTTTGAAGAACAAACCCGATCAAGAATTCGGCTTGAAGGGGTGGAGTCAAAGAACGAGATGGGTGCACGGAAGACTGAAGAAATCATAACATGGAAGAGATGTCGAGCAGTCTTTATGGCAATAGTCGACAACAGAACTGCCCGTCCCAGAATAAAAATCGAACTCCCACCAGACAGCAAGATGAATACTCCAATCAGCTTTCCTCTGCTGATCCTGCCATTGTCCTCGGTCGCCCAGGCAATCCAATAATTGCTGGCCAACTGTAATCCTTGAAAGAGAACTTGGCAAAGAAGAATAATTGGGACCAGCGCACCTTTATAAGCACAAATCACAAAGTTTGAGTAGACGCTCCATTTCACACGGCCAGTTTCCGATTCTTCTTCTTGTGTTTTATTACAAAGATTTCTGTTTTTAACGTGCTCCTCAGAGTTTTCTTCCATGATTTCGATTTTGCTCGCTTGGCATGGCTTGATGGACGATGTCCTGTCTTCTTGGGCTGGGTTCACTTGATTTAAAGATTGTCTATGAGCAGACAATTGCCTAACAAGTTCACCCTGCGGATCCGCAATCAGATCTTCATACTTCCCTGACTGAACTATACAGCCATCTTTCATAACCTACACAATTGATGTGTTAGACAAAAGACAAGATAAAATGCCTCAAAAGGAGATAATATCTTTTGTGTTCTATTTAGGCGTTGCTCGCTCCATGAACTTACAAGAATGAGGTCGGCGGCATCTAAAAACTCCAACTGATGGGTGGAATAGATAACAGTCTTCCGAGACAGCATTTGCATGAGACATTTCTGCAAAAAAGCTTTTTACTTATGAGAGAACTGGTATAAAAAGGGAATGCAACAGAGAGTTAAAAAAATGATTGAGTTTTGATGCTTGCCTTGTACAGATGAGTTCTAGTGTGTGCATCGACGGCGCTAAAAGGGTCATCCAGAAAATAAACATCGGAACCACTGTAGACTGCCCGTGCTAGTTGAACCCTCTGCTTCTGTCCTCCGCTCAAGTTCATCCCTCTTTCGCCAATAGCTGTCAAATCCCCATCGCTCCACATCTGGATGTCCTGTTTCATTGCGCAACTTTCCACGACATTCTCATAGAAGGCAGAATCGAATTTCCTGCCAAACAAGATGTTCTCTCTGACACTTCCGGTTTGGATCCAAGCACTCTGTGGTACGTATGCTTTCGTTCCATTGACCCTTATTGCTTCCCCAGCTATTCTAGGAATCTCACCAAGCATACTACACAACAAGCTCGTTTTACCAGAGCCAACCGACCCGCAAACAGCAACATTGTAACCTTGCATTATATTAATCTTCTCCAATATTTTTAATGTAGGTTTTTTTGACGCTCCATCACCTGAACACCAAGTATATTCACCGGCCCCAATCTCAACAGCAACATCTGATTGTTTTGGGGATGAATGAGCCAATAACTTTTTGTGATCCTCTCTAAGGAACTCTTGGACACGATCGATAGAGACCTTAGTTTGCGTGACCATGGATATGAGCTCAGGCAAGTTGTAGATTGGCTCCTGCAAGATCCTGATCGTCGCCAAAGCCGAAAAAACTGTACCTGCTGATAATGGTATTTTCAAGACAACGCAGGCGCCAAAGGTAGCCACCGAAACCAGAGTAGGCGAAGCCCAGAAGAGAAAAGCCACTGCAGAGCATGTGTAGAGGTACCTTTTCAGCAAACTTTGCTCCATCTCTCGGAGTCGGAGAATCTTCTTCAAGAATGTCGGTTCCCAAGAATGCAGTTTAAGTACTCTCATGCTCTTAAGAGTCTCGGAGGTCACTTTCATTCTAGCATCCTTGGCTTCCATGATCTTTGAATGAAACCTTTCTTGCATTTTCGCTAATGGCGTGTTGCTAACCATTACAACAACCGTGGAAGAGAGAGCAGCAAATGTGGGGGCAGCACCGAGATTTCTGTACAAAATGACTAGGGCTAAAAACACTTGGACCGGAACCAACCACACCCCGTGAATGTAGGAGCAGAAGTCCCCGATTCTCTCAACATCCACATTGATCAAATTCACGATCTTCCCATTGCTTAGACCAGCATACTTGATCGATTGACACTTCATATAAATCAATGCCATAAGGCCAGCTCTAATGCGTATGCCAATTCGCTGAGCACCAAAATACCACTGCCTTTGAGTTAGTGACTCGATAGTCTTCGAAGAAAAGAACACGAATGCAAGAACCAGTCCAAAGAGGTAGCTTGAATCTTTGCGCTTGGACGACAAGAAATTCACAAAGCTAGTGATCAAGAGAGGACCCATATATGAAGCTAGTGTATTAATTCCTGTTCCCAAACAAACATAAAACATAAATGTCTATGATATATTTGCCTCAAGATGCAACTGAAGAAAAAGAAGGGAAGAGATCAGAATAACCATAAGTACCTGCCAGTACTCCATTTTTCGCCAGCGATGTCCATAGAGCAAAGTTCTGTTTCTTGAGAGATTCCTCCAACAACAATGAAGCGTGTTCCGCTCTTTCAGACTGCGAAACCGAAGGGATATGACCCAATTCGAGCTTTTTCTTTCGACCCGTGCTGAAAAGGGGGTTCAGCCATTGAAATGTGAGTCGGCTCCAAAACCCGGCATTGTCGAAGCCGTCCAAATCTCTACCCTCTACCTCTGTCCGAAGCAATGGTTGGTTGAGAAGACGGTTACTTCCTAATGAAAAGGCCATGGTCACAAAAAAGAACCTGCAATCCAAAAGAAAAAGGAAACTTGTTCAAATTTTTTGCACCAGAAAATCAAGGAACTGCACAATGCATTAAAGAACATGTACACGTACAGGTAATGGCGGTGGCTTTCTTTGTTTTCTCTCTCGTCTTACGAGATTCAAACCTGGGAAGGAAAAGGATGAAGACCAAGAGGATGAAGACAGAGCGCGTGCTTCTCCGTCGTAGGTAGGTGACGAGAAAGTGTGCTTTCAGTGGGGCAGCGATCACTGAGTTTGTGTTCTGAAATCTTTTAAACAGGAAATAAAAAAGACAGCAATCACCATCGCCATAATCTTTCTTAGCCCTCCTCCGTAGCTATCGCCTCTAAGATGGAACGTGTGTGTGCATACATATATATATATATTTTTGATAATACCATAGTTGTTATTTTAAGAAAGCAATATAGAAAACATATCAGAATCTCGACCGCGGCTACTGTTGTTTTAAGAAAGCGATATAGTAAACATATCAGAATCTCGAACTAACCTCTTTTGTCGCGTGCCCTCGTCCTTGCGCGAGGCATAAACTACCTCTATCTGCCGCTTAAGAAGCAGCTTAGGGCCGCCGCTAGTCTCACTGATCGATCTATATTTGGAAAGATTTAGTCGTGATCTGCTTGCTACATTCAGACTCGGGTACCCCACCAAGCCGCTCCTTTGCATTCCATGCAGCTGTCGTTGACGTCGTTCTTTCCCTTGCGTTGCATGGGAGCTTAAAAAGGGAATAGGATAGGACAGGATATCCTTTTGTTTCATACTTCATATCTTATGATCCTCAAGGAATCTGATATAAGAACTCTATTATATTTCTTAAATTGTCCTAATCTCATATCCTACTTACCGTCCAATATCTATTAACGTCCTATCAAATTAGACATGGGGCTAGTCAGTCAATCTCAGGAAATTTCACATTCAAAGTTTTGACCTCCGAAGTCTCGACAAACTCGTGCCTATTGTAAAAATGAATAATAACCTTATGTTATAAAAAAAATGAACAAAGTAATTATATACTTGGGCAACATTAATATCACCGCATCTCATGCATCTTTCGTGAATTTTAAATTAAATCTTTTTAATCACTGACACGTTGATTCGCTTTATTGATTTTCGCCCCCTTAATTCACACAAAATATACGTATATCCTTTTTGGTAATAATATCAAGAGAAGATCGCACACTGTTTAATTATTTTCCCCATCTTATGTAGCGTTAGCGTTAACTAAAGCATGAAGTATAAGAATTAAACGGCGTTGTGGTCCAAACCCTAATTTTTTCCCCCAAAATTTATTTAAATGAAATTTAAAAAAAAAGGTTAAAAGTTCTTTAAAAAAAACACAAACTAGAAAAAAAAAAAAAAAAGGCTAGCAAGAGCCTGCAGGGCGGTGAAAGGTTTGGATGGGGCGGCGTCGCCGACCCACCGTCACCGGTCATCGCCGAGACCCAGGTGACCCTTGTAGACCCCAAGCGAGGGCTTGCATCTAGGAGAGGGTCGTCGGCCATCATTGAGGCTCCAACGACCCTGCTAGCCCTTTCCGACGATTGATCGATCTCTTTGCTGCCACATAGGCATGGGCCTCCTGTGGCTCTTTTTTTAAAAATTTTTATTCTTTTTTGAGTAAAACTTTTAGCTTTTTATTTATTTTTAATATAAATTAACTAAGATTTGGCCGCGAAAAAATTATTTGAACCAAAGCAACGTCATTATAGTATTATGCTCCATGCTTTAGTTAAAGTTAAGCCACGTAGGAGAAAGAAAATAAGAAAAAAAATACTCATCAGCATTTTTCATTAGCTAAATTGACGGGGTTATCAAAGAATATATTTAATTGCACCAATTTGATAAGTTTTAAGATTTTATTAGGCTTTTTTAAAGTTTTGACACTTAATTGTACTTTCTCAACAATTACTCCACAAAGAAATGGAGGATATTCCTTTGATAGCTCTAGCCTTTATTAAGATGCACAATAGTCTTAAATTGCTTCAAAATTACATACTCGTCCATGGACCTTATAATGTCAACTATTTTGTCTATTTTCAGTGTCGAAATCTTTTTATGGCCATTTTACCTTTTTTTGGCCTGTGGATTCTTTTGCCTTCAGTCTTCCTCTTTGTACAATATTTATTGTGGCGTGGACTCCTTTTTCTATCTTTGGGTTCAAATCTTTTGTGAAGGCAATTTTACCTTTTTTCCCGCCGTTGATCCTTTTGCATTCAGTCTTCCTCTTTGTACAATTGGCAAAAAAGAGAAAATGAAGAGCGTAAGGAAGTCGTTAAGGCCTCCACTCTGGAAAGTGAAGCTTTATTGAAAAGATTGGGTTCTGTTTCTGTTGCATTAGTTAAAATGGAGCAAGAAGAAATTTCCTAATGGCCATCGCAAAATCGTCTCTTTTAAGCAGGAAATTCAGGATATCGTCAACAATTCCGATAAAGCTTTTGGTTGAGAAAAGAGTACAAAGTCCTAAATGGGAGATTGAAGGCTTACGGAGGCAAGAGGAGATGTATTGAAGTTTGCGGTCTAAAATTAACCGGCTAAAATGGGTGAATAAAAACGCAAGATACTTTCAAGCCACAACCATCCTAAGGGGCAAAGAAACAGGATCTCAGTGCTGAAATCTTCAGAAGATATTTGGACTATAAACCAAAGGCAACTCTAGCATTGTGCACAATTTTATCCTAATTGGCCAGAAAACAATGGGTTGCACGACATATTACATTAATTGATCAAACATTTCTTGAGGCACATTGAAGATGACTGAGGGGGAGAGGTAGCGGACCCAAAAGAGGGGCCAGCACTGGTCGTCGGCCCTGGTCGTAGTATGTACATTAAGATTTGCCTAGTCAAATTTATGTGCTTCCTAGAGAAATTTTAACGAAACTTTTTCAAATTTTTCCCCCGTGAACTTATCCCTCGCTTTCTCTCGACCTAAATATCTTCTTGTCACTGAACTTAAGTGGACGCGATTCCTCGCTGTTGAGCAGCTCTTTGAGTCGAATCTGAAGCATCGATTCCTTTTTCAGAGTGATTTCTGCCCGAATAAAGCGATGCCCGTACACATTCTTATGACAAGACCTTCTCAGACTTGCAATGACGACATCAAATGCTTCTGATTCTTACATGATGTTCCTAAAGAAAACGGGGTCTATACATTCATCCGTCTTGCCCTGCCTGGCCTGAGCAGTAATCTGTCCAGACAAGTACCCATGATTTCCAGTCGAGTACGTGATTAATCAGGAAAACTAGCATACCTGTAATTAGTTGGCCAACTGTTAATGCACCCTAACAGACCATAAGTTTGGGCATTACTCAAACTCTCAACTTTTAGTTCTTCACAAAGGATAATAGCATAAATAGTTCATAAACTTTAGTCCAATGTATAATATCATCTATAAACTTTCAATTTGTGCAATGTCATCCTTAAACTTTGGCCCAATGTGCAATGTCGTCCCTAAAATTTTAATTTATTCATTATTGTCCCCGAACTATTGATAAATATTCAATGTAATACTTAGATTAAATGAAAATGTTTAAAAGTTCAGGGACCACATTGAACATTGAATTAAAGTTCATGAACCATATTGAACAAATTAACAGTTCAGGGATGACATTGCATATTAAATCAAAGTTTATAGACCATTTGTATCATTTTCCTCTTTTTTATACCTTTTTATTATACTCTCTGAATCTAGAAAGCAAGCTGGCTCAGTATCTCCACTTTATGGTTCATGTGCAATCATCGAAATACTGAGAACGCATGGGAGTGGAATTGTGCTTGCCCTGTTTCTGTCTCATCTTGCACTTCAGCTTCAGTCGAAGCCATGTGCATTGAACTTTTGTCCGCTTTTAGGCACGATCCTTTTGCCAAAAGGGTTTATAAAGCAAACTCTCACCTGGTCCTAGTGGTAGGTGAATCTCTCGCATATACCTGCAATAATGCATACCAATGAAGCTACCTGTATTTGAATTTGATTGCCGACTCTCGTAATATGATTCCCCGCTCGTCACTCCAGTTCAACTCAAGATAATTCAGGTAGTTTACACGGAAAGACTGACATTTTATTGAACAAGAGTTGTCTATTATTACAGCATCGAGATAAATATTCACAGCTGCTCAGTTTTTCAGAATTCCTAGCCAAATGGTCCGTGTATGGGTGGTGTATGATGCAACTGAAGTTGTAAATGTATCGAAGTGGGAAGGCAAATTTTCTAAAAGATGCGCTGTTTTGGAATTCTCTACTCTACATTTATATCAGCAAATCTTTCCAAATAGTTAGAGATGTTAGCAAGAAGCAGTAGCACTGATCTTCAGGCTGGTTTCCATTGCAAGTGCTTTTGTGATTGTGTTAACTGCGATAGCCTGCTTGTTTGGAGAAAAAAGACTCCTTTGTCTCGATCGATCATTTACCTTCCTCGAGATAAATCCCCACGGAAGCTGTTACTAGATGATCTCCTAACAAACTCGGCTGCTAACTTTGAGAATGAAGAGGACTTGTTCTCTAGCAAGAGCTTCGGTGAGTCGTACTCGACTATCTTGCCTGCATCGACCAAACAATGCTAGCACGTTTAGGTTCACACTCTTCACGCAATTAAATGCATAGGAAATTTTCTTCAATTATATGATAATCTATATCTAACAGAACAAAAAAGGGCTTACCGTCGTCGAGAACCAGAACCAAGTCATTGTCGATGACAGTGGGAATCCGGTGAGCAACGGTTATGACAGTGCAATTACCCGTCTCTTCCCTGATAGTCCGCTGAACCAGGTTATCGGTTGCCGTGTCAATTGAAGCCGTTGCCTCATCCAAAACCAAGATCCTTCTCTTCTTCAAAAGCACCCTAGCAAGGCAAGCCAGTTGTCTTTGCCCGACGCTCCAGTTTTGTCCGTCCTCAGCAACTAGGACAATTTAATATATAACTCATAAAGAAATTGTCCAATGAACCTAGTAAAAAGACTTCTCAAGAACAAAGCCTTCGTATTTTGCTTTGGGTTTAATACCTGGTGCATCGAGAAGTCTCGGATCCTGCTTGACCATCTCTGCTAGGTGACATTTGTTAAGAACCTAAATATCCATAATTCTGTAATCAGTCACCCCTAAAAATTAAGTCATGCTTTTTATGAATTTTATAACTTTTGGTTTTACCTCCCAGATTTCTTGGTCTGAATGCTCTTCCAGAGGATCCAAATTTGTCCGAATGTTACCCTGAAATAGGGTAGGATCCTGGGGAATGATACTCAGCCGCGACCTTAAGTCCTGCAGACCAACTTTACAAATGTCCAACCCGTCAATAAGTATCCGCCCTCCAGAGGGTTCGACCACCCTGAAAAACGCTTGGATGAGAGTGGACTTTCCGCTGCCCGTTCGTCCAACGATTCCGACCTTTTTCCCTCCAGGGAACGTGCAGGTGATCTCCTTGAGGATCACTGGGAGAGAAGGAGCATACTGGATGCTGAGGTCTTGAAGCTCGATTTTTCCTTCATATGGCCAGTCAGGGTTCGGCCTGGAATCTTCAATCACCAAGGGAGCTTCGCTCGGTATGTTGGTAAATTGAAGAAGTCTCTCGACCGAGATCATTTTGTTCTCAACATTGCACAGATTCCATATCACCCACGCTTGGAGCACGTTAAGGTTCAAACCGTATGTTGCCACTAGCCCAGCCAAGCCTGAGATGGAAGTTGATCGGTTCAGAGGTTAAGTTAACCAGTCAAGGAAAAAGAAGGTCGATACTTATCGTTTGATTGCATCATTCATAGCCCTTGAAATTTCACACATTTTTGGGGACCTGTTACACTAAATGCGTAATGGAGAGAGGGACTTACTGGGATCTACGGCTGACCTAGGGAGGCTCACCAAGATAACCAGGACAACAAAGAAACCAAAATTGAAGAGGAAGTTTATCCGAACGGAGAGCCATTCCATAGTGCTGCTGTTATGGAAGACTATGCGAGAGTAATTGTCGATCAAGCTAAGACACATCCTAAAGAAATGATCTTCCTGGTTGAAACAACGAACTATTGCCGCCCCTGTGACTGATTCCGAGAATTGATGAAGGATTGGAGCCTTCCGTATCCCAACCATCCTGGCCAGTTCTCTGGCCGTGGTGATGTAATAAGCCTGCAGAACACAGTTTTGGCATGCAGTCAGCATCACTACGTGTCAAAATAAACCTGCTGGAAGCATATGCAAAGAGCTTTCATGTCCTCAGAAATGGACCTCATCTGAATTAGTAATCTGTAACTCTATGATGCTATAAGCACAGAGATATAACATAACCGAAACTTGAAAACTTGCCTGATACCACATGGAAATAGCAAGGATTAAAAGGAAGAGAACAAAAACTTCCCACGCCACCTGGGACATTAGGACGATTATACTTAACAACTGAATTAGAGCAAACACCAACCCTGCTAACCGGTAGGGAATGTCCGTGTCCACTATGCTTTGATCCTTGGAAGACTGGAGGGAAAAAGGAGGAAAAACAATGCTGATGTCAATCTCTGGCACAATAAGTATCAGACCAGTGATCTATATAACAGAAAGCAGAAATTCAATGAACAGACCCGGTCAAGAATTCGGCTTGAAGGGGTGGAGTCAAAGAACGAAATGGGTGCACGGAAGACCGAAGAAATCATGCCGAGGAAGAGATGTTGAGCAGTCTCAATGGCAATAGTAGCCAATAGAACTGCCCGTCCCAGAATAAAGATCGAACTCCCACCAGACAGCAAGATGAATACTCCGATCAGCTTTTCTCTGCTGATCCTGCGATCGTCCTCGGTCGCCCAAGCAATCCAATAATTGCTCGCCATCTGTAACCCTTGAAAGAGAACTTGGCAAAGAAGAATAACCGGGACCAGCGCACCCTTATAAGCATAAGTCACAAAGATCGAGTAAACGCTCCATTTGACACGGCCAGTTTCCGATTCTTCTTCTTGCGTTTTCTTCGAAAGCTTTCTGTTTTTAACGTGATCCTCAGAGTTTTCTTCCATGACTTTGATTTGGCTTGCTTGGTGTGGCTTGATGGTTGATGTCCTATCTTCTTGGGCTGGGTTCACTTGATTTAAAGACTGTCTATGAGCAGACAATTGCCTAACAAGTTCACCCTGCGGATCCGCAATTAGATCTTCATACTTCCCTGACTGAATTATGCATCCATCTTTCATAACCTACAGAATTGATGTGTTAGACAAAAGACATGATAAAATGCCTTAATGGAGATAATATCTTTTATGTTGTAGTAAGGTGTTGCTTGCTCCATGACTTACAAGAACAAGGTCAGCGGCATCTAAAAACTCCAATTGATGGGTGGAATAAATGACAGTCTTCTGAGACAGCATTTGCAGAAGACATTTCTGCAAAAAAGTTTTTCTTTTGAGGGAACTTGTAGCAAAAGGAAATGCAAGAGAGAGTCAAAAAGTAATGAAGTTTTGATGCTTGCCTTGTACAGATGAGTCCCAGTGTGCGCATCGACAGCGCTAAAAGGGTCATCCAGAAAATAAACATCGGAATCACTGTAGACTGCTCGTGCTAATTGAATCCTCTGCTTCTGTCCTCCGCTCAAGTTCATACCTCTCTCACCAACCACGGTCAAATCTCCATCACTCCACATCTCGACGTCCTGTTTCATGGCACAACTTTCCACAACATTCTCATAGAAGGCGGAATTCAATTTCCTGCCAAACAAGATGTTTTCTCTCACAGTTCCAGTTTGAATCCAAGCACTCTGTGGTACGTATGCTTTTGTTCCATTGACCCTTATTGCTGCCCCAGCTGTTCTAGGAATCTCGCCAAGCATACTACACAACAAGCTTGTTTTACCAGACCCAACAGCCCCGCAAACAGCAACCTTGTAACTTTCCATTATTTTAATCTTCTCCGAGATTTTCACTGTAGGTTTTTTCAAAGTTTGATCTCCTGAATCCCAAGCATATTCACCGGCCTCAATCTCGACAGCAACATCTGATGGATTCGGGGATTGATAAGCCAATAACTTCTTGATATCCTCTTCTTCAAGGAACTCTTGGACACGACAAATGGAGACCTTAGTTTGCGCGACCATGGAAATGAGCTCAGGCAAGTTATAGATTGGCTCCTGCAAAATCCTGAACGTCGCCAAAGCCGAAAGAACTTTACCTGATGATAATGGTATTTTCAAGATAATGCAAACGCCGAAAGTAGCCACTGAAACTAAAGTCGGCGAAGCCCAGAAGAGAAAAGCCACCGCAGAGCATGTGTAGAGGTATCTCTTCAGTGAACTTCTCTCCGTCTCTCGGAGTCGGAGAATCTTGTTTATGAATGTCAGTTCCCAAGAATGCAGTTTAAGGACTCTCATGCTCTTTAGAGTCTCGGAGGTCACTTTCATTCTAGCGTCCTTAGCTTCCATGATCTTTGAATGATGCCTTTCTTGCATATTCGCTAATGGCGTGTTGCTAACCATTACAAAAACTGTGGAAGCGAGAGCGGCAATTGCGGGGGCAGCGCCGAGATTTCTGTACAGAATGACTAGGGCCAAAAATACTTGGACCGGAAGCAACCAAATCCCATGAATATATGAGCAGAAGTCCCCGATTCTCTCAACATCCACATTGATCAAATTTACAATCTTCCCATCACTTTGACCGGCATACTTGATTGATTGACACTTCCTATAAATCAATGCCATAAGGCCAGCTCTAACGCGTATGCCAATTCGCTGAGCACCAAAATACCACTGCCTTTGAGTTAGTGACTCGATAGTCTTTGAAGAAAAGAAGATGAATGCAAGAAGAAGTCCAAAACAGTAGCTTGAATCTTTGCGCTCGGAGGACAAGAAATTCACAAAGCTTGTGATCAACAAAGGGCCCGCATACGAAGCTATTGTATTAATTCCTATCAGCAAACAAACATAAAACACAAATGTCTATCATATAATTGCCTAGAGATGCAACTAAAGAAACAGAAGGGAAGAGACCAGGACAACCATAAGTACCTGCCAGTACTCCATTTTTGGCCAGCGATCTCCATATGGCAAAGCTGATTGCGTTCGGCAAAGAACAAGGTCCAAACTTTTGTTTCCTCAGCGATTCCTCGAACAACGATGAAGCATGCTCTGCACTTTCAGACTGAGAAACCAAAGGGATATGGCCTAATTCGAGCTTTTGCTTTCGACCCGTGCAGAAAAGGGGGTTCAGCCATTGAAATGTTAGTCGGCTCCAAAACCCAGCATTATCAAAGCCATCCGAATCTATACATGGACTCTCTCTCTCTTTCCTAAGCAACGGTTGGTTGAGATGACGACTACTACTAGGCTTGGTGGTGCAACTAATGACCACAACACTAACAGAAATCACTAGCGAAAAAGGGAGGGACACGAACTCAACAGTATTGGCTTGTAGGGGAAGAGGAGGCAGTTCCTTGGACTTTGTCAGTCGGAACACCAAGTAAGAAGAGACAGAAAGTGAACAGTAAACAGTGAAATAGACCCACCAAAGGATTATCACAAGAGGCCAGTTGCTTCTGCCCCCATCGACAATTGTGCTCCTAGTGTAACATGAAATGAAAGATGCGAGAACCCAAGTGACAGCCCAAGAGACACTGTCATAATCCACAATTCTGTGAGCCCAATGACGATAAACACAAAAGCCAACGTATGTCATGGAGATTATGAGACTGCAAACCAGAATCACCATTGAAGAGACTCTGAGTTTTGTCTTTATTCTGTCACTGTGGATCAACTCTGCATCACCACCACCAAATCTTCTCCGCTTCAAAATGTCAATCAGAACCCATGCCACCAAAACGAAGACAAACACTACATTCACTAGTTCAAGTGCTATATACAGGTTGACAGGTCCCAACACTCCGGGTGAGATGCTTCCCATTGAAATGGCCATGGACACAGAAAAACTCTGCAACTATAAGAACCTGCAATCCAAATGAAAAGGAAAGAAAAAAAGGAAACTTGGTTCAATTTTTTTGCGCTAGAATATCAAGAAGCTGCAGAATGAGGAATTGAACGGTTTGTTTTTCTTGCTTTCGCGGATAAACTTCAGGAACATGTACAGGTAATGGTGGGAGCTTCCTCTTTTTCTTTTCTTTTTGATTCAAACCTGGGAAGAGAGAGGAGGATGAAGAGAGCACGTGGTTCTTCGTCGTGGGTGGGTTGGTGACGAGAAAGTGCGCTTTCACTGGGACTGGTGATCACTGAGTTTGGTTTCTGAGACCGTTTAAATAGATGCCAGACAGCCAAAATCCGAAAAAGAAAAAGAGAGAGCAGAAAACAATCACATCGCATATTCTCAGTGTGCCTAAGAGGGAATGTCTATATATATTTTATAGTAATATCATCATTATGTTACCGATGCAACACAGCAAAGAGATCAGAATCTAGACCGCCGCTCCCCACCGGTGTGGTAAAAGGAAGGCTAAGATCTGTAAAAAAAAACGCTGAGTTCGGTTCACGTGGGTAACCCACCTCTTGAAGAAGACTCCGGGCAGGCCAACAGTCACGCGGCACGGCCACTGATAAAGGGATTGGGAGGTGAGGCCGGAGAGTACCAGGTCTGGAGTTCGATCCCCGCGAGCACGGCACACACGTGTACGTAGAAGAGAGGAGCGAGACCAAGAAAAAAAACAAAGACTCTGGGCTGTCACCGTTTCTCTTGATAAAGCTTTCCTTATTTGCGTTTTCCCCCTTTTCTCCTGTTGCCTCATTCTTTCGCCGCGGGACATTCCTGGTCCGTACGGGGTCGCTAGTTGTCAATCCTGAAGGCAGAGGATGTCTTCATCTGTCTTCATCTAACAACAAAGAACAGAATCTGTCTCTCGGCTTTCCTTGTTCGTATTCTCGTACCGAGATGAACACCTCCCGAAAATGCAGCACCAAAACAAAAAACAGAGAGAGAACAAAATGCGGCAAGAGAATATCCCCGTGATCGTAGTCCTATCAATATTCTCTGTCAAATAATCTGTGTGGATACCTTTTATTTTTCTATTTTTCCCAATCGGCGTGTTGAAAGCATTGCACCCACATTCGCAAGGATTTTTATGGTGGATATACTGCGAGGGATTGGGGATGGGGCCGGTGAGTACCGGGTTCAAAATTCAATCCCCGTGAGCAATGCACACACTTATACATAAAAGAGAGGAGAGAGACCAACAAAAAAAAAACTATGAATAATCGATTACTCGGTTTTATTTACGAAATACCAAAGTTTAATGGCGTGAAAACTGATCTTGATAAGACATAATTTTAATTTTATTTCCCTAATAAAAAAAAGGGAGACCACATATTATATCATAACCCAAATAAAAATAATCTCTTGTGAAGAATGGGATAAAGGTAGATAGGATATGTCTCGAGCTCACCTCTCTTCTCAATCCCCTCTATCCACCCATGGTCGCCAGTCGCTGCCTCTGCCACCTATAGCCTCCGCTGCCACCCACAACTTCCCATCGAGCTCTGTCTGCATTGCCAGGAGCTCATGGCTAGATCCGGAGCTCCCCATGTCTGAGCTCGACTCAACCTTGGTGATGGAGGAGCTCCATGGCTAGATCTAGACCACTAACCGCCGTTCCCCTCAATCCACATGAGCGATCGACATTCTAGCTTGGATATTCGTATATATTTATAAAATATCAGATATCCCATTCTTATCCAATTCGACTTATATACTATTCGACCTCAATTTATTCGATAGAGAAGTTCAGACAATCAAGCGCAACCCAAATTCACAAATAAGATCGTGGTTGCTCTCCTGTTTTTTTGGTCCAACATGGATGCGCCCCTTTCAAAAGGGTTCAAATTGCCAACTCACTCCGATACGACGGTTTGAGAGACCTTTCTGGATTGACACGAGACTAATGCGGGTGGACTACCGTGCAGAAAGAACGTCCATCGTATTCAGTCATCACTAAAAAGCAAAGTTGAAGGCGACAAAGGGGAGAAATTATAATTTTTAAATAAAATGGCAAACACGAAGCAACTTGTATGGTCAACTTTTCAACTAAAATAGACTTATTTTCTGTCCACTAGGTTTAGGAAAACATATGATGGAAGAAAGAAGAGCGTTCGAACTCAATGACAAGGAAGAATTGTACATATTAAAGAGGAGATTTCGAACAAAAAAAGAAGAGGAGATTAATTTTAAATTGTGAATTGTTAGTCTATTTACTGAAAGAGAGTTTCCATAAAGATTGAGATCAATTAACATACACACTTACGTCGCGCTTTCTATTCGGATAGTGCATTTCGATTCGTCTACCTCCCTAGTTAAATAAATACGCGACTGTCATAAGTTTAGAGAATTAGTCGAGCTGGTCAATTGACGGTCACACGCCATCTCAATAAACATAGATTTAATTTGTCCTTCTTAAGATAATCAAGAGTCAGCGACTTCACAAAGGGATAATTATTTTTATTTTTTTTGGTCGAGAAGGGACAGTTTAGTTAGATAATATAATTGGATAAGCATTCTCATGCTTATCTTTTTTTATACCTTAATTAGGATTTTTAGGGAAACTTGCTAACAAATTAAAGACATCCGTGCACCCAAAAAGAAAGCAAAGATCTCACCAAATTATGTGCAATCAATTCAATTTGGATTTTTGTACATCAAGAATCAAACCATTCAATTCTCTCGATGTACAAAAGTCCAAATTGAACAAAGGTTCACTGACCTGGCCCGACCACACCTGCATATATATATATAGTCCCTTATTTAATTATTGCACTATAGAATTCTTTCTTTTTGGCTTGCAACTCCGCCTCTATACTTCTTTATTTTAATCTTATAAATCTAATTTGTGGGGGACAGGTCACCTCATTGGGCCCTACAAACTGGACTCTTCCACTAACCACAAGGACTGGCTTTCCAGGTTGGCAAAAGAAGTGCATTTAGGCACATGTCTGGCTGCTATATATGTGTGTTCCTGTATATATATATATATATTGAAACTCAAAAAGAAAAGCCCCCTTTTATGCCTTTTGATTACTCATCATTTTGTTGTAAATAAATGTACTTATTTTTATGTGAACTTTATGACTTGACGTAATATTTTTTTCCTAATTCAAAAATATTTGAAAAAATTAATTAGACAATGATGATAAGGAGCGAGTTGGTCAGAGAAAAAGTGCTTTCCAAAACTCACTCATTGGCAACATTGGAATGGACCAAAAAGTAAGATCAATCTCACTTTTTCAAGTCACACTTTTTAGATTCATTAATGAGTCCTCTCAATAAATTTATCAGGTTACCAATTGAATAATTATCTCGTACTATTATGCTCAATAATTAAATGAGCATGTTTCTTGTAAGATATGATTAGTGAAAATTTAAGTTTTGAACTATGAATTCTTAACAATCCGAAAAGGAATTCCTTAAAAAAGTTAAAAAAATCATAAAGCTATAATTCAAGGGTCAATCTCGTTTGGACAAATGGGCTAAGCCTAGCCAATTGATCAGCACCCTTGGGATATTCGAGGCAACCTAGAACTGAATCTCAAATTATTGACTTACTTCTTCCATAAAGCATGGACATGATGAAATATGCGGGATAATGACATTATTAAACTCTGGACTTTTATTATTTTTCAATCTATATATCTGAATCCTCGATCTTTAGTTTAGTATATAATGTCAAAACTAAACTTTCAATTAAACCAATTGGATTCTTAACCATTTTTTATTCCGATGAACTTTCAATTTCGAGGACTAATTTGGTTGTTATCCTAACAAAGGGTGCTTAAGTATGATAAATAAATTTTATGTCAGAATCGGCGTTGAATAAAGTAAGTAAAATTCATCATTTTATTGAGACGGGACAGATTATTTGTTACTCACTTTCTCAACACGCATGTTTCTATCGAGTTTCCTAAGCTCGGTAGCTTACATAGAGAGAAACGCACGTCTCGAGTTGGATGGACTCAGTAGCTTTTTTTTTTCCTCCATTGTCGGGGTTCGGACCCCAACTCGGCGTCCCCGTGCCGTCGTGCCCCTAGCGGCCACGCCGTGTTATCGGTCAATTCGCCACATGCTCGAGCGGAAAACGGGACAAGATCATCAATGAAGGTAGGGATAATGAAATAAATAGTCCATAAATTATGACTAAATGTGCAATGTAGTTCCTGAACTTTTAATTTGTTCAATGTCGTCCTCGAAATTTTAGTGCATGTTCAATTTAGTCCCAAAATTTCAAGAATCACATTGAACATTTAGTTAAATTTCAAAGATTACGTTGAATAAATTAAGAATTGATGAATTATATTGCACAATAAATCAAAATTCAATGATCGGTGGTGTCGGGAACAATGAGTCGGCCACATTGGAAGCGGTGAGGTCAGAGAGATAACTACTGTAATCCGATTGGACACATTGGACACGCGGTGGGCAGGCGGAAGGAGTGTGGTGGTCAATGGCAGGCTCAGTGTAGCTTGAGGGTGACTCGTGTCGCGGTTAATACTAGTCATTAATCTCACGTTTAATCTTTCTATAATCACCTTTTTGGCCATCTCTGAATTTTTTTAATAATTTGATGATGATTTGATTCCCTTTTTACTTTTCGTGGCAGCACCCGCAGAAACTAGCCAAAAGTTTTGTGCATCTCTAGTTTAAAGAACGTTGTTTTTTTGTGATTAATTATGTGTTAATCAGTGCATCTTTCTATCCATGTACAAAAAAAAAATTTGTGGAGCTTCAAGATCGATTGGCGTCTTTTTTTAATTAATTGATTTTGGATGTTCGACACTACTTGGTCACGTGAAATTTGGCCCTTAGGATAGGATATGGATGAAGTTTTTGTTGCCCGGCAACTGGGCTTGCTAAACATGCCGCGTACCGCGTACCGTATCAATCGAAATTATGGCAAGGACCCGCGTGATCGCAACGGAATGAAAGGCTAAATGGAAAAATTTTCGTGGTTATTTTGTGATATCAGTGCGCAGCATGTATTCTACGCATTTCGTTTCGAACAATATTAGTCAAGGGTGGCTGCGAATGTTTTTCTTCCCCCTCTTAAGATAGGATTGACACAAACCGAGCAAGGTGTGATTGTGTCAAAAGAAAGAGTTACCATATTTACGTGTGTACTAACTATAGTATTGTTAACAAATTTTGATACTCAAAAGGCGAAGTAAATATATTTGAGGATAAACGGAAGAGAACGATTAGATATAAAAGATAATTTAGTTCTGCTCTTGTTCTCGGGATCTAATTCATGATAATTACTATGTGAATCTCGATTTTTAAGGAGCTTCTTATGGGATTTTTAAGTTCTTCACTATTGTAAATATAAAGTTGTATTGGCAAGTGGAAACGGGAAAAATAAAAAGTATGTTTCTTTTTGGAATTTGCATCTTGAACAGAAGGATAAAGTCACAAAAATATAATTTGTTCATGGTAAATATAAGTGAAATGGTAGGAAGCGATTGATTTGGTCCCCTCGACTTTCTGTCGCATTGGTTGCCTGAGACCGCCGCAACATCCCGGCAATGGCAGCTCGGCAGAGGTTATTCCCAATCTATATATATATATATATAAAGTAACTCTTTTCTTTCCCTTTTTGTTTTTCGTTTTATTCTTACAGCTATATCCACATTAATATCCGGCCTTTTACCAAGCCGAAGCTAGCATACATCAGATCCCCGCAATTCTTATTATACCCTAATATAATTCTTGTCCTGACAATCGAAGGCAAACTCGATTGATATGGGAATGACATGCAATTCCAAGCCGGCCTAACTAGAGCAATTTGAGCTGTGACGCATGCAAATTACCAATGGACTTTTCTAAATTAGGATTCTTTGTCGAGGTGAGAGTCGATCCACAAGAAATTTCTCAGATGGTTCTTTTTCTCTTAGCAGCCATTTTTAAGTCAATTTTTAAGTCAATTGGATTGCCGTGGAGAGC